ATCAACCACATAGGGACGTCCCAAAGATTTATCTGTCATTTTTATCAAACACAATCTTTATCAACAGGGAAAAATTGGCGTCAGTTGACAAAAACACTGCCATTTTTTTAACAAACCCTCTTCTCGTTGGAAAATAACTCAAAACACCTGGTACAGAGCTAGAAAGCGCCAGCACTCAGTTTATTCAAAACTGTTATAGAACTTTAGTCACTTTTTGGTTGATCTCACACCCTCTTGCCCCAATGTTTTGCATTTTTGTACATATATAACTGACGAATGTATCTCCCTGAGAAATTGTCTTCATCGTCGTCAAACAGGAGAAAATAGATCCACGCTCTACTTTTTACCCCCAGAGCTGCAGAAAAATTGGGTCACAGGAACCTTGACAAGTTTTTTAACAGCTCCAACTCATCAAATTCAATTAGCAATCCAGATCACACAATTCCACCTAACCCCTGTCCCAACAAATTGGTCGCTGCGCTGAATTTAGAGTCGGAGAGGTTAGTATCATTGCCCCTTCCATTTCCTCCTCATCCTCATCCCATTAATGATAAATGACAACCCAGCAACTCGAAAAATGCGTCCTCATCCCTGCAAATTAACTACAACAACAACAGCAGAAAATTAGCCTTCAGGCCTCAAAGGAAAAAAATCGCATTCTACCTCAACCAGAACCGCCCAACTTGTCGAGGAGGCAAAAAAAGAGGAAAAGCAGGGCGAGGAAAAAGAGGAGAAACCTGCGCTGCTTGAACAGCACATAATTACTACTGCAACATCAGCCAGAAGCGCCTACCACAACAAACGTATGCGCATACGGAAAATTTCAAAACTGAAAGACAATCATCCCGACAGGTTTCTAAACACGTCTGATAAAATAGTGAGACTTGGTTTGGTTGCATCGGCAGCAGCAAATGGTGATACGAAGCCAAAAATTTACGCTGTAAAACTTATGAAAGATTTTCAATTAAAGGACAAAAAGTTGCACCCCAAATACGGAAATCTTTTGAAATTTTGTTTCGGCTTAAAAACTCGATAACTTGATACGGAACAGTTACGCACTAACAACAAAAATTATGAAGGGGAGAGTAATCGAGAGCAAGACGAAGAACACAGATCACATCAACGACCCCAGTTGTCGGAGCAAGAAGATCGGCTCTTACGGGGAATTTACTACTCTCTGACACATCCGGCAGCATATGGAAGTGTTCAAAATCTAACTTCGTGAAGTTGGCTTTAATGCAAAAAAGTTGACCAATTTTTGAAATCCTCATCTACGTATTCCAAATTCAAGCTAAATAAATACAAATACAAACGTCTGGGTGTTGTCAGTTTGAGCAATAACCATATTTGGTCCATGGACGTTGCCTAAATGGATAATACTGCAAAGGAGAACAGTGGTACAAAATATTTTTTACTTGCAGTCGACTTCTTGAGTCGATACTTGAGGGTTCAACCACTAAAGAACAGATATTCAACAACTGTGAAAGATGCTTTTCTGAAAATTATCAACAATGAAGGCCCTTTTTTTACTTCAATTAAACTATGGTTAGATAAAGGAAAAGAGCCGATATTTTGCGCCGATAAAAAAATTGGAAGTTTATCATACACACAGCAAATCCAGAAACTGTGCCGCGGAATTTTTCATTAGAACGCTGAAGAGTATAATGTACAAACATCTTTAGCACTCAGGGGTTTTTGTTATGTTAATAACGAAAACCCCAGAGCAAAGTGAGTATGGGTTTTCGACTTCTGCAACCCAAGCAAAGTGTTTCCTCCAGTCCACCCATATCTGATAACTGTTGGGGGGAAAGCGGTCGGGTCGGATCGTTCCGAATCCAAACATCTCCTGCCTGTCAAGAGCATTTGCCACTGCCACTGCCTTTGCAGCCTCCACCATCAACACACGCTCTCTGTTATTATTCTTATTTTCAAACCGTCTCGTTCACTTACAGCATGCTTTGGTAACTACAATCGACAATATGGCCCATCCAGAATATGGCGCCAAGGTAGATTTACAGAGCTGCTTCTCTAGGTTCGTTCTCTCCCTTAACGGCACAGCAAAGTGGACCTTAGGTAATAAAATCAGCTGGGAGAACGAGATTCACTATTATCCACAATCCCGAAAGGAAGCGCCAAAGTAGATTTAGGGGGTTGTTTCTCTAGGTTCCTTCTCTCTCTTGACGACTCTACAAACGGACCCATGGTTAGTGAAATCAGCTGGGCGACCGAGATTCACTACTGTTCAAAGTCCCGAAAGGGTTAGGTTGGTGGCAATTATTCTGTACTATATTGTCCTACTTGCCCCTTTTGTACTGCTCTTAAGGCTGTCCTGTGTACTCAATACGATCGCAAAAAAATTCGATACGAATAAATTCACAGTAACGTCCAAATAAAAATGCTCTCAGTGGCCTGAATGTAATCCAATAACCTAATCCAAGAAAAATGTCAGCGATTCATCAGCACATTTGCCTAATTGCAACATAGTTTCCAACGAACCCAACTAATTGATTGTCAATCTCTCTAGAGAATCGTAATTACCCAATTACATACGGTAGTTCCAATCAAGTACTCAGTTCGTCCGGATAAAATTAATAGATTCCCTATGGATCGCTATTCCTTTGAGGTACTTTGAATGACTACGGATAAAATTAATAGATTCCCTACGGATCGCTATTTATTTGAGGTACTTTGATCACTAGTTTCAAGAATCACTGTTCTCAACTCTGATGCAAACCAACTATCTACATAAATCGTAATCTTTCGTTTCTTTTAAGGTGGGCAATTTGTTAATCTCTATTCAGTTTTTTATTTGAGTTTTGTTTATAGCTTTAGTTATGGCAGTTTTAGTTTTTTATTTGAGTTATGATCGTCCAATTTCACCTCTAAACCAAGCTGTTTAATTTGCCAATCTCATGCGGTTCTTTCCTAAGTGGTCGAAAAACTACCTGGGTTGTTGGGCAGTTTTCTGTCGAGATAGTTCTTCTGGGAGGGTAGCAGAGAAAGCAGAAAAAACGAACCTACCCATCATGGCAAGCCCGGGTTTTTGCAGATTTTTGCAAGCCCAGGTCAAATTATCTCTAGTACCCGTCCTGTAACTTCCTAAAATTAATTTCCTATATTCAATTTTTGGGGGGGGGGTTGTTGCCATATCGGTACCGTCCTACATGTTTCACCATAGGAGAGACTAATTGTTTCAAGATTCGAACAATTTTGATATTGGTCCCTTGCTAGCTTTTCTATTTATCGTATTGGTAAGTTGATGCCCAGCTATGTACTTCTCATTAACCGTTTGTATACTACTGTTAAATTTGAGATATTTTTGTGAAAATCATCTCCCAACACGCCATATAAAGTATACGATTTCTAGGACGGGCTAAATTTCCGCTAACGCATTAATAGGGTGACCCTGACAGCATCTCACTGATGGGTTGCTAATTTCAAACTTGACACACAGAGGCGAGAAGACGACCAAAAAAATAACACGACCAAAAAAATAACACGAGAACACGAGCTAAAAGCAGCTCTATCGAGTAAAAAAAAAGAAGAAATCAGATTCGAATCAGCAAAAACTCCGCTACGTGTCGAACTAGAAACTGCGACCTAACAAATTTGAGTCTCCCGCATTAACCACTCAGCCACAGATGCTTAAAATTCCCAAAAACTAGCCATCAATAATGCAGCTACATATGATAATAAACTGCCAACTCGATGTAGCACCAAAGATAAAAAGACAATTATGTAGCTATGAGATTGCGTCGATGTAGCAAAAGTAGCACCAAATACAAAAAGACAATTTTGTAGCTATTAGGTTGCAAAGCATAAAACCAAACTATACATTTAAAAAAAAGAGATACATTGAGTTGGAAAACTTCTGAAATCGATCTTTGTACTGTTGTTTGAGACACAACTTTTTTCGGTTGATTTAACGAATTAAAAATGTATCAGCTGTGTTAACTTTTTTTTTAATGCCATGTCAAAGCACAAATGATAATATACTGCCGCCTCAACCTACGGATTCATAAGCCCCACCAAAAAGAGCACTTTTATTTTTTATTTGCATTTTGGATTGGAAAAAAAAGAAAGTTCGTACTAATACACTTTGCGTCCCAAGTGTAAAAAAAAACACCAAACTCAAGCAGTAAAATTTCCTATCCATTCCAATATACGATATAGCTTAAACGTGCAAAAATTCTAAACATGTCAAAATAATGCGCTGAAAAATCTTAAGCATGGCGAGTATCTATTCTTAAAATAGTAGTGGGTCGAATTCCTGATGGGTCGAATCCTTGAGGCATGAAAAATTCAGAAGATCATCAAACCTGTCAAAAAACACTGACTTGTTATTTGAAAAATCTCTTCGAATTTTCAAGAAAATGATGCCCTTGAAGCTCTTTGGACATCCAGAACATTTCACGATTGACGCTTTTCTGCTAAAGTTGATCCAATTTGAGAAACTGAATCAAAAAGTAAAATTTTTATTCCGCTGGGAAACCTGAAAATGAAATACAACTTTCGAAACAAGAAGTTGATTACAATTTTCGTGACCTTTACACGTTTGCTGCTCTACAGTGGAGTTCGGCTATCTCTTAAAAACTGAAATCAAATGAAATAAAAAAATAAATTCAAACCACGGAAAACCAAATTTGAGTGTGGTTAAAATTTAAGACTTTTTCTAAAAGAAAAAGAAAAACCATCACGACCTATATAAGAGTAATCACTACGCTCATTGACACTTGGAAAACTGAAATTGAGAATTTTCAGGCGAACACAGAAGGCACATTTGCGCCTTGAGTTGACTGACCAGCATAATTAACGAGGCATTAAAAACGGGCAGATAAACTGTGAGCTTGAAAACCAGAGGGAAAACTGAATTATGAATACAATGTACATACACATACAAATATAAACCCATCAAGCTATTAGATTCCAGACTCAAGTCCATTGTGCCCTCAAAATGGAAAACAAGATAATAGTCTAAGTCACATTAATTCAGTCAAACTTCAATACAATGTTGTGTATGCTGCCACGCCCACCAACGCCAACCCCACGCCAACAAACAACTGGTTGAGCCAGGAGCGTTCAGATGAGTCGCCGGCGCTGCTCCCAGAACCCGAGGATCCCCGATTTGAGCCGCCCTTCTGCTTCTTCTTCCTCTTCTGTTCCTGGGGGTGCTTTTCTCCTATGAGGTACTGTCGCATCATCTCCCTGGCGTCGCTGGAGTGTCCGACGTCTTCGAAGGGGGTGGAGGCGTCCTGGCCGCCCTGCTCGAACAGGATCTCCTTTCCGCCGGGGTGTTCGAGGGTGAAGTTGGTGATGTCATACACTAGATTATCCACCACTATCCACAGGGAGCCCACAGTCGAGTGTGGCCCCATCTCCTCCATGGTGTAGTACTTGGCCCCTGTGTTTGCATTGTGAGTCAGCTCCTCCTCCTCCTCCCCCTCCTTCTCTTCTCCATTCTGTTCTGCTGCTGCTGCGGTTGGCACTGAAGCAAGAGGAAAGAAATGATGCCGCATTACTCATCGAACTTTTACGGGATGCAAGACCAAGAAAGACTATGCCAACCAAAAAGACTAGTTTCCAATTTGGATTGAGAGAAGCGCGTGAAACTGAAGGCTAGCATAAACATACAGTCATAATATTGGGATCACTTGGGGGACTTGACGTGCTGTCTATATGATACTAATGCAAATGGCACTATACTACCTTACCCTCCCCACAGGGGTGCTCTTTCCGGGTTTTTAGTTTCGGATACTCCTAAGTCGGTCCAAAGTCCCTCTAATAATTTTGAGCCCACCGTCATATGATAAAACCTTTTACACTAGTGAGTTTTGTGACAGAGGTAGCACACTCGTACAGTAATTTCAGACAAGATACACTGTCTGTTCGTCACGCTATCTTATTTTCGGTCGGGCAGATTCGTGCAAGTTCTTAGTCTAATACCAACCTTAATCTTACTCTTACATCTCCTAGTCTCAACAGATCTAGTGTATACTGGTATTTCCGAGTTAGTTCTTGGAGCTTATCCAGAAGGAGAACATCTGTAGTCTAAGATTTATTCAAATTGTTCCGGTGCTGAAACTACAAGTAGTTTCAGCACTTACAAATAAGTGTCAATGTTAGTGATGGAATATGATTGGTTAGTAAGTAAAATTTTATAGAGATAGTCTTATCAGTAATATAATTAGTTTATTAATACTAGTTTAGAACTTGTTCCACCCATCCGGAGTTTAGAGAACTTTTAGTTTTTAATTGTCTATTGTAGTGAAGGACGGGTGAGGCAATTTTCTTTTAGAGATTTGAGCAGTGACTTCTTGAAGAGAGGAGAGATGTAGTGTTTTGCATGAAGAGAAGAAGATCGTTTGTTCGTGTTTCAAATGTGGGTCTCGCTGATCGTGGATCTTCTTGGGTGAATGTATCAATACTTGAGACCGATGAAATGATGTGTTGATTTCGTCAAGCTTAGAGCGAGATTACGTGCAAGATGAAGTTTGACTTTTCCATGTGAAGTTTGACTTTTCCGTGCGAAGTGCTTTTCCGTGCGACTTTTTCGTGTGAGGTAGTTTTCTTTTAGAGATTTAGAGATTTGAGCAGTGAATTCTTGAAGAAAGGAGAGATATAGTGTTTTGGGTAAAGAGTAGAAGATCGTTTGTTCGTGTTTCAAATGTGAGTCTCGTTGATCGTAGATCTTCTTGAGTGATTGTGTCAAGACTTTAGACCGATGCAAGGATGTGTTGATTTCGTTAAGCTTAGAGCGAGACTACGTGCAAGATGAATTTTGACTCTTCCGTGTGAAGTTTGACTTTTCCGCGTGAAGTGCTTTTCCGTGTGACTTTTCCGTGTGAGGTAGTTTTCTTTTAGAGATTTGAGCAGTGAATTCTTGAAGAGAGGAGAGATGTAGTGTTTTGGGTAAAGCGTAGAAGATCGTTTGTTCGTGTTTTAAATGTTGGTCTCGTTGATCATGGATCTTCTTGGGTGATTGTGACTTCAGACCGATGCAAGGATGCGTTGATTTCGTTAAGCTTAGAGCAAGACTACGTGCAAGTTTGAATTTTCCGTGTGAAGTGCCAAGTGACTAGGATCGGTATGTGAGATCAACATCGAGTTGGCCATTGGTCTGTTTCAATGGTTTTCCTTTGCTGCGATGTTGAGTCCATACTTTAAATCCTTTGAGGGTAGTGACTACGGCAACAAACCAATAGATTTGCCATTTCAGAGTTGGAGTGTAATCGAATTTTCTTCTTTTTTTGCTTCTCGTTCCTTTGGCTCCAAGAAATTTTTACAACACATTGCATTTAAATATCTACATCCTGTTAGTGAAGTCAGTTTTGTTATGATTTATTACTAGTTATTGTCGGAAAAGCGTTTTTATTTCAGTTCGGTTTTTTTAAAGTTGTTCACCCTGGAGCCACTCTTATCGAAAATAGAGCATCGTGGTCGTAGCACATGGTGGGAGCATGTACTTCGAGTGACGTTGTTCTGTTGAGTGAGGGCAGAAAGAGTTACATTTTATGCACTTCGGGCAGAGTTCTGGTCTCAGGGTTCTGTCCTTTTCACAAAAGTAGACTAAAGTGTTTTGGTTTTTTCTTTTGACTTCTTAGTGTTAAGTATTTCATTTGGTTTCAATAAAACTTGAAAGTAAGTTTCCAAAGAATAATTTATCAAGTTTCAATCTGGGTTTAATCCGATTTGGGTGCCGTGAGACTTTTCATTGTATTCATGCTATTAGTTCACATTTCCGAAAGGGTCAGGTTTGTGGCAATTATTCTGCACTATATTATCCTACTTGCCCCTTTTGTACTGCTCTTAAGGCTGTCCTGTGTACTCGATACGATCGCAAAAAATTCTATTCCAATAAATTCACAGTAACGTCCAAACAAAAATGCTCTAAGTGGCCCGCATGTAATCCAATAACCTAATCCAAGAAAAATGTCAGCGATTCATCAGCAAAATTGCCTAATTGCAACATTGTTTCCAACGAACCCAACTAATTGAGTGTCAATCTCTCTAGAGAATCCTAATTAACCAATTACATACAGATGTTCCAAACAAGTACTCAGTTCGTCCGGATAAAATTAATAGATTCCCTATGGATCGCTATTTCTTTGAGGTACTTTGAATGACTTCGGATAAAATTATTCGATTTCCTACGGATTGCTATTTCTTTGAAGTACTTTGATCACTAGTTTCAAGAATCACTGTTCTCAACTCTGATGCAAACCAACTATCTACATAAATCGTAATCTTTCGTTTCCTTAAAGGTGGGCAATTTGTTAATCTCTATTCAGTTTTTTATTTGAGTTTTACTTATAACTTTAGTTATGGCAGTTTTAGTTTTTTATTTGAGTTATGATCGTCCAATTTCACCTCTAAACCAAGCTGTTTAATTTGCCAATCTCATGCGGTTCTTTCCTAAGTGGTCGAAAAACTACCTGGGTTGTTGGGCAGTTTTCTGTCGAGATAGTTCTTCTGGGAGGGTAGCAGAGATAGCAGAAAAAACGAACCTACCCATCATGGCCGTCATAGTTTGCATCTATGTCGCTAGCTCATTCTGCCTACTCACATGGTCATTGTGGGGCGATTTCTTTTGAAGCATTTGAGCGGCCAGTCCATCTGATTTTTTGTCAGTACTCGTCTGTAGTCTCGTTCGCCGAGCTAAGCTGAACCCAATAACCCACAAGTTTGATTTAATTAGTTTCACAAAACACATTTTACAATGTAAAATATATATCCTTTTTTCAGTTTCTGCTTCACTTCTCATTAGATAAGTTCTCTACCCATTATAAGTAAGGTGACCAATTCTCATTTCAATAGGGTTGCGGCGAAAAAAATGCCTCTTTCGGTGTTAATTGCAAGTTTTTCTATGCAATTTTAGTCCTAAGCAGCCTAAGGCCAATTGAAGATCACCCGGGGTCATTCGGGGTCAGTCCTCTATATTTGAGTTCACAATCCCAAGTGGGACCTACCTAACAACTTTCATCTATATCACATTAATATTTTCCAAGTTATCCCAGTTCTAAGGTCTCTTATCACTTTCGCCGGAATTCTGCGTAACTTGCTTATTTCCTGGTAAGGGGTATTTTTCCAAGTGCTAATAATTTCCGGTCCAGTTGCCAGATTTTGATCAAACTATAACCCATGATATCTCTCGTCAGTACCTATCAAATCGCAAAGTTTTGGCTCCCTACGTTCGGTAGGGGCCGAGAAATGACTCTAGCGCAGGGAGGTCCAGAATTTTGCAAGCCCGGGTGAAATTATCTCTAGTACCCGTCCTGTAACTTCATAAAATTAATTTCTTAGATTCAATTTTTTTTTTTGGGGGGGTGTTGCCATATCGGTACCGTCCTACATGTTTCGCCAGAGGAGAGACTAATTGTTTCAAGACTCGAACAATTTTGATATTGGTCACTTGCTAGCTTTTCTATTTATCGTTTTGGTAAGTTGATGCCCAGCTATGTACTTTTCATTAACCGTTAGTATACTGCTGTTAAATTTGAGATATTTTGTGAAAATCGTCCTCCCACACGCCATATAAAGTATACGATTTCTAGGACGGGCTAAATTTCCGCTAACGCATTAATAGGGTGACCCTGACAGCATCTCACTGATGGGTTGCTAATTTCAAACTTGACGCACAGAGGCGAGAACACGGCCAAAAAAATAACTTCCGCGAGAACACGAACTCAAAGCAGCTCTATCAAGTAAAATAAGAAAAAGTAGAAATCAGATTCGAATAAGCAAAAACTCCGCTACGTGTCGAACTAGAAACTGCGACCTAACAAACTTGAGTCTCACGCACTAACCACTCAGCCACAGATGCTTAAAATTCCCAAAAACGAGCCATCAATAATGCAGCTACATATGAAAATAAATTGCCAACTCGACGTAGCACCAAAGACAAAAAGACAATTATGTAGCTATGAGATTGCGTCGATGTAGCAAAAGTAGCCCCAAATACAAAAAGACAATTTTGTAGCTATTAGGTTGCAAAGCATAAAACCAAACTATACATTTAAAAAAAAAAACGAGATACATTGAGTTGGAAAACTTCTGAAATCGATCTTTGTACTGTTGTTTGAAACACAACTTTTTTCAGTTCATTTAACGAATTAAAAATGCATCAGCTGTGTTAACTTTTTTTAAATGCCATGTCAAAGCACAAATGATAATATACTGCCGCCTCAACCTACCCATTCATAAGCCCCACTAAAAAAGAGCACTTTTATTTTTATTTGCATTTTGGATTGGTAAAAAAATAAAGTTCGTACTAATACACTTTGCGTCCCAAGTAATAAAAAAACATCGAACTCAAGCAGTAAAATTTCCTATCCATTCCAATATACGATATTGCTTAAACGTGCAAAAATTCTAAACATGTCAAAATAATGCGCTGAAAAAGCTTAAGCATGGCGAGTATCTATTCTTAAAATAGTAGTGGGTCGAATTCCTGATGGGTCGAATCCTTGAGGCATGAAAAATTCAGAAGATCATCAAACCTGTCAAAAAACACTGACTTGTTATTTGGAAAATCTCTTCGAATTTTCAAGAAAATGATGCCCTTGAAGCTCTTTGGACATCCAGAACATTTCACGATTGACGCTTTTCTGCTAAAGTTGATCCAATTTGAGAAACTGAATCAAAAAGTAAATTTTTTATTGCGCTGGGAAATCTGAAAATGAAATACAACTTTCGAAACTAGAAGTTGATCACGTTTTACGTGACCTTTACACGTTTGCTGCTCTACAGTGGAGTTCGGCTATCTCTTAAAAACTGAAATCAAATGAAATAAAAAAATAAATTCAAACCACGGGAAACCAAATTTGAGTGTGATTAAAATTTAAGACTTTTTCTGAAAGAAAAACAAAAACCATCACGACCTATATAAGAGTAATTACTACGTTCATTGACACTTGGAAAACTGAAATTGAGAATCTTCCGGCGAACACAGACTGACGAGTATAATTAATGAGGCATTAAAAACGGGCAGATAAACTCTGAGCTTCAAAGCCAGAGGGAAAACTGAATTATGAATACAATGTACATACACATACAAATATAAAACCATCAAGCTATTAGATGCCAGACTCAAGTCCATTGTGCCCTCAAAATGAAAACAAGATAATAGTCTATGTTACATTAATTCAGTCCAACTTCAATACAATGTTTTGTATGCTGCCACGCCCATCAACGCCAACCCCAGGCCAACAAAAAACTGATTGAGCCAGGAGCGTTCAGACGAGTCGCCGGCGCTGCTCCCAGAACCCGAGGATCCCCATTTTGAGCCGCCCTTCTGCTTCTTCTTCCTCTTCTGGTCCCGGGGGTGCACTTCTCCTATGAGGTACTGTCGCATCATCTCCCTGGCGTCGCTGGAGTGTCCGACGTCTTCGAAGGGGGTGGAGGCGTCCTGGCCGCCCTGCTCGAACAGGATCTCCTCTCCGCCGGGGTGTTCGAGGGTGAAGTTGGTGATGTCGTACACTAGATTGTCCACCACTATCCACAGGGAGCCCACAGTAGAGTGTGGCCCGATCTCCTCCATCGTGTAGTACTTGGCCCCTGTGTCTGCATTGTGAGTCAGCTCCTCCTCCTCCTCCTCCCCATCCTTCTCTTCTCCATTCTCCTCTCCTGCTGCGGTTGGCACTGAAACAAGAGGAAAGAAATGAAGCCGCATTACTCATTGAACTTCTACGGGATGCAAGTCAAGAAAGACTATGCCAACCAAAAAGACTAGTTTCCAATTTAGATAGAGAGAAGCGCGTGAAACTGAAGCTAAGAACAAACAGACAATCATAATCATGGGATCCAGTGGGGGAACTGACCTGCTGTCTATATGGTACTAATGCAGTTGGCACTACTACCTTACCCTCCCCACAGGGGTTCTCTTTCCGGGTTTTTAGTTTCGGATACTACTAAGTCGGTCCAAAGTCCCTCTAATAATTTTGAGCCCACAATCATATTATCACATCTTTCACATTAGTAACGACTGAGAAGCACTCTGATTAGCATAAAAAGAAGTAACACGCAATTTGTAATGAGCTTAACAGCAAAAACTTATTCCAACGCCTTTTCTCTGCTCACCGAAATTGTTTTGCAATTAAGGTCTTGAAGTTATAGAGTTGCAAAAAGTTCGAACAGACAGAATAAATTAAAAAGAGCAAATAGCTAGACAACAACGTAAAATTGAAATAAACATAGCGTCGAAAGTTCATAGAGCAGAGTTTTCGCCCAAAACCTATAACGACGGCAGGTAATTATAGAGAGTTGCAAGAAGTTCGAACAGAAAGAGCAATCGTACCATTTTGACAGATTTTTGCATGCAATTTTTTTTCATTTCAGACTAACTTGAGATACAAAATCGGAGTGGAAAATTTCATTTCGCATGCAAAATTTTTCCAAACAGGTCAATTGCTCATTTTAATTAATTTTGTCAGTCCGAACTTTTAGCCACTAATTATACATCCGAAGCGTCGAATGGTAAACCTTAAAAGGAAAAAAATTGCTCAGGGTGGCTAATGTGTTTCTGCGATTAGTTTCCAATTTATGAATGATTTGATCATCTTCAATTCCGTTTTTTTTTTGGGCGGACTGATCTGTTTTTTTTTGTAGAAATTGACTCCTTGATAATCGTCTCTGCAAAACATGATAATCGGTAGATTTCAATTTTTCAACTAATTTTGCAAACTTTTTTATAGTAAAAACTGGAATTTCATAGCAGTATTTAAAACTTAGGCTAGTATAATCATCGGATAATCGACGATCTCGTATTTTGAATTTGGTCTGACAAAAAATTCAAGGTTGTTCGACTTCAGATTTATCATGCAAAAAACAACGCCGAAAATCACTGATTGCCTACGTTAATTAAATCTGTCTGACCGATGTTATTGCTACTAATTATATATTCAAAAATAGTGACCTCTGCAAAAGCGCGATCATTTTGGTTCGCTCTTTGACAGTTCAAACCCAGTTCAAAATTTCAACTCAATTTCACTATCTCAAGGTCAAAATAAAACATTGTCCGATACATATATTGAAAGCTACAACACTCGACCACCGCGCTGACGATTAATTGCGGTGCTAGTTTTTGCACCGAGAAAAAAAAACACTGACATATGTTTTCCCACAATAAACAACGGAAGGAACAGATCAATTTTCGTCTAAAAACATCAATTGGATCAATCAGCCGGTTTTAACTCAACTTGAATAGCTCTCTTTGCCATATTATTTAACTGCCTACGCAATGTGTTATTGAAAACAGAAATATTCCGAAATCCTTTGAAAGACAACGGTATAATCACAAAAACAGAACGAAATAGAAAAAGATGAAAGTTTTCACGCTATCTCGTGATTGTGACTTTCTATTTCGTTTGACTGTTCGAGGAAGTATATTGCATTATTGCACTATTTTTGTGATTAAACGCCTTTCGAAGCCTTTCGAAGGCTTTCTGAATACTTCTGTTTTCATAAAAATATTACGTAAGCAGTGAAATAGTATGGCAAAAAGAGCATTCCAGAGAGATAGCGTGAAAAATTTATCAAGGTATGTAAACTGTTCGAACTTCTACATGTGTTTGATGCCAGATAAGCACTTATATATTGCAGCACGGAATTTGTTCAAATATTGACAATGCGTGTCTCGACTTGATCACAAAATTTTTCGATGCAATACGTCGCTGTCTTATCCACTACATGCAAAAAGCTTGAAAACAACAAACAGACAGTATAAAATATATGAACTACCAAAAAATGAACTTTAAACAATTATTGACACGGGTCCCAGGGTATTTTCAATTTAAAAATCCCTGAGATTTCCCGGCTTTCCCTGACATTCGCTTAACAAATCCCTGACATTTGCATAACGATGTGCCTCTAAATTCCAAAACATTTCCTTGGAAAATAATCAATTTCCTTCACAAATTTAACACTTTCTGCTTTTTATGCTCAATTTCCAAATCCAGCATTTCTTTGTCCTGTTTCACTTGTTGCTCGATTGTTTGGCGTTTCTTCTGCAATGCCGAAAGTTCGCTTAAGATCTTCCGCTTCACAGCAGAAACAGCTTCCTTCTGTGCGCTCCTTCATGCCATTGAGAATGATGCTCTCATTAATCGAAAAACCTCCTTCGACGCGCCCATTATCATGGGACAATCTCAAGATCAATTCTAGAGGTTTAAGAAAGTCAGAGTCATTTTTGACATAAGAACCCATAAACCCTGTTTTATATCGAGAAATATTTAGCAGCTTTTAAGAATTCTTTGTCAAGAAGCAAATTCTTGAATTCTTTCTTTGATTATATCAGCAACATCCAAAAGGATGTAGCCGTCCTCAAATAGCATCTGAAACAGACTTTCAGCTCTAGATTCAGCAACTTTTGAATTCGTAGCCATCAGGATTGGCGATAAACCTGGCTCCCTGATCAAAGTAAATACAATGCACGTCTAGTCAGCCTTTGTTGCCGACAGATGCTACACTTTGCCGAGAACGTGTCATTTGGAACGCGGTTGATCCAATCTACAAAATCTGGAAAGTCGCTGAGATTTTCCCATTCGAGACAGTAATGCGTTTTCCTGCTTGACATAAATTTCAAGCTGAAAATAAGAGCCAACATAATTATATACTACTTAATGTCATTAGCAGGCCTTGACTCGAATTCTCTGGCTTTTCCCGGTTTCCCCTGACAATTTATAATTCCCTGACATTTCCTGGTTTTCCCTGACGCATGTGACCTCATGTATTGAATAAAAAAGCATCAAAAATACGGAAACTTTTAAAAGGTGAATCAAATTTGAACAAGCGCAACTTATTGACAAAAATAGTGCTTCCACAACTAATTCTTATTTCTCCTAATTACCAAATAGTTCGAAAAATATGAAACTTAAAATAATTTCATTTATTTAAAGCAAAGGCGAAGCTGCTCTCGCTAATGAAAGCAAAAATTTGCGAAAAAAATAAATATGCCTTGAAAGATAAAACATAGCCAACAGACAATTTGAAAAAAGACAATTAACGCCAAGAAACACGGAAGAAAAAATGACAATAAAGCTCTGAGTTTCAAGAAAAATTATGATTGAAAAAACTTTTGATAAAATTAACTTAATTTGAGAAAACTGGATCAATAGCAAAAAAATTTACTCCGCTGCGGAGTCTGAAAATTAAAATTCACATTCGAAATTAGAAGTAAATGACGTTTATCGTGACCATCACACTATTGATAGTGAATTTACCTTCCATTAATGGAGCTTAAAAAGAAATCGGAAGTCAAACCGAATCAAAGTCAAACGGTGGGGTCCAGACGACGCCGCCTTCAAGTGGTGGACCCGACATCCTGGCTTGCCAGGTTGCAAATGGCGTCAAGCACCCCCCCCCCCCTCCCGTGGGTCAGGGGAAGCTCAGAACTCCCCGGGTTTTCGGTTACGGAGCGTCTGAAGCCGGCCAGGCTGCTCCGTCTGCTCATACTCACCCTACTCCTAGGATCCAGCATTAACCCTATCCCCGGTCCCTACAAATGTTCACCCTCTAGCCTAAGCATTCGTAGAAACCAAGCCAGTGTCTGGTGCCACATATGTGGCTGGATACATTTTAAATGCAGTGGCCTCAAATTTTTAAAAAGAATATAACGGGTTTTTACTGCCCCCATTGCAATTCTACTCTCATTTTAACCCCAACCCCCCCCCCCCCACCCGGAACCAAAGCGCCATCCACCACCTCTCACCAAGTAACGGTTCCCACAAGCCAATCCTTGTCCACAGCCCCTTCTGCAACCAATTCCCAGACCAAACAATGAAACATGAATCCACACAATACGAAGAAGTAAGTTTAAAAACCGACGGAACACTTGAGGCTATGTGTATATCAGCGGTAGCCGGTACGTCGAAACTTCGTATTAGTAATTTTCATATCCCCCTAGATCTAGTTGTCCCCCCAGTTATACTGCGTGCCTCACTGATCTCCTGATTCCAGGCGACGCTCTTGTCCTCGGGGATGCAAACGCCCACTCTTCCCTCTCGAACTCAAACTTAGAAGAAGATCAACGTGGCCAATTACTCTCAAATGGAATAACTGAATCCACGTACGTCCCCCTCCCCCTAAATGATGACACCCAAACTATAGTACCTTTTAATTGTTTATCCTCTGATGCACAATTCTCCTCCCCTGACATCTCCCTAGCTTCGCAGAGCCTTTTACTTCCTTCGTCCTGGACCCTTATTAAATCTCTACGCTCCGACCACCTCCCCATACTTATCGAATTACACCTAGAAAACAATAAACTTTTCTCCGAAAAAAAAAACATTCATCAACTTCCTCAGGGCTGATTGGCTGCAATTTACCGACAAGATTGAGTCGGGTTGCCTTGCCTCGAGGTTTCCTTCTTCAGTTACGGCCGAGAGAAATGCTTTCGGGATCTGGCACTGAAGGCAGCACGCCACCACATCCCCTCCGGGCGCCACCGCCATTACACCCCGACTCTTTCTCCTGAGTTAGCCTCTCTTGGTGCTGAAGGAGATCTCGGTCGCAACAAAAATCATCCCACGGAACCTACACAGCACTCTCATTTCACTCCTTCCGAATTGAACTCCCAACCCCTCAATCAGACAACGAAAGACAGGAGAAACAAATGGCGTAATTTCCTCCAGACCTGTGATTACCGCTTTGGAGCCATAAATTTCTGGAAATTGGTACGCTCCCTAAACGGATCCAGGCCTGTGGTAGGAGGGCACCCTATTCAATCTGAATCAAAAACAATCTCGTCAGGCACAGGCATAGCCAAGCTTTCAACAAGCAGTTTACAAATGCCAGGAATCAGGGTTTCAGATAAGCTACTTCGGAAAACCAGACGCAAAATAGCCAAGCTCACCCTGTTAGATAGCCCACTTTCACTCCCCTACAAACTAAACAAGCCATAGCGGACAGCAAACCTTCGCGAGCTCTTGGTCCGGATGGCCTTTGCAACGTTCCCTTAAAACACCTGTGACCCATAGCTCTTGAATATTTAACTCTTCTTTTTAATATATCGCTGTCTGAAATTATTATCCCTCGAATTTGGAAAATTTGAGGATAATCCCCCTACCCAAACCCGAAAAGGACCATCAATTATCCACTTCTTATAGGCCCATCTCTTAACTCTGCCCCGCTGTTAAAGTTTTAGGAAGGCTCATCCATCTTTTCTTAACATAGCATCTCCCTGCCGCCACACATCAACATGGTTTTCGTCCTTTCCACTCTAACACTACTGCGCTTTCCGCAATAGAATTTTTTGCCACAGACGGTTTTAATCAAAATCGCCTACCCTCACGCAACTTTCTCGCTACGCTTGACTTCTCGAAGGCTTTTGATATAATGTGTCATCGTACTCTCCTCGAACTAATTCATGACACACCGCTCCGCTCCCGAGAAGTATTGTTCAATGGCTGAGTAATTATTTGAACGGCCGACAAGCCACCACATTTTTTAACAACCAAGAATCCCCCCACTCTGGAGTTCCCCAGGGCTCTGTTCTTTAGCCCACTTTTTTATTTTACGTCCATGACGCTCCCACACCTCCCGATAATGTTCGTCTCACATCTTACGCTGACGATTTCCATCCGTTTTCCCAAAGCCCTGATGTAGAGGCAGCATCTCGATCGTTGAACGATTACCTTCATCATCTTTTTAATTTTTCACTTCTAGGAAGTTATCTTTCGCGTCCTCTAAAGGATCAGTTACCCTTTTTTCACCGTACAATAAAGATTTAACAAAACACGCAGTGTACTTTTAAACAACAAGCCACTACCTCGTAACAAAAACCCAAAAATTTTAGGGGTTACCTTTGACCCAACCTTATGCTTTGCAGCATATTGTAAAAGATCCGCCCACAAGGCTCGCAGCTTGATAGGTGTCCTGAAAGCGTTGTCAGGATCCTCTTAGGGACAGTCTAAAGAAACCCTCCTCTTAACCTACAAAGCTTTAATACGCCCCATTTTAGATTATGCCTCCCCTGCTTGGTCACATGCTGTCAGCAAAACCTCCATTAATCACCTGCAGGTTACCGAAAATCAAGCCCTCAGATTTATTACCGGCTCGACATTCATGAGTTCCACTGCCCACCTGCACAGTGAGGTCGAGATCCTAAATGTTCCGAATCACCACACTCTCTTAACCTCTCAATTTTTTCATCTCGTCATATCGCTCCCATCACCACTCACACCCCACACCTCCACGTCAAGTTCGACAATCGATTTTAAGCGCTTTTAAAGGAGATGTTGACTCCGTTTTAACCAATCCTAACTCTTCACTCAATCTTAATAACCCAGAAGAAATTTCCATTTCCGTTTTTAACCACCACAAGTCCCTTTTAGAACAACCACACAAATCTAGTAACCAAGTTCCTCGCAGAAATCCCTCCCTCCAAAATAATTTGTATACCGCCCCCTAAGGTTGACCACACAGAAAAATCTCTTCCCAGAACTACCCGCTGTAAACTCTCCTAACTCCGGTCTGGTTACAGCCGGCTTTTAAAGAAATACCTCTCCCGACTAGACAACAAAGTTTCCCCACTATGCCCGGACTGTCACCTAGCACACCACACTAATTGCCAAGTTTTTAACTACCCCAACAATCCCTCCCCACTCACTCCCGCAGACCTGTGGCTTAGGCCGGCGGAAGTTGCGAAGTTCCTTAGCCTGGAGACGGACGAGCCCAACCCGACCAACGTGGGCTAATGAAGGAAAAGAAGAATGAAAGAAAGAAAGTCAAACCGCGCTTTAAAAAAATCAGAAGTCAACGCAAAAAATGGAGTTTGAGTGAACAACTTCTAATTTTCCTTAAAAAAAATCGCGACCTATACAAGACTACACTACGATCATCGACAGTACTTCATCTTTTAACTTTCCGGCCAAACCAACAACACTAACAATAGACGACCTATGAGATCAACCTGTCGAAGTCGCTAACTGGCTTCAATTATAACATCTGGACAGGAGGGGTTTGTAGGTTCCCCAGAAACAAAAACCAACTCACATCAGGAGTTTTTCTCGGTTCTCCGCACTAATTAAAAACTTCCCGCCAGAACTGGGCACGGGAGTTTCGCTCAGTTCGCCTTAACAAAACTGCTCGCCTTTACTCAGGACTGGAATAGGGTGCTTTCCCGCATTTAGCGAACCGTGGGATTGCCACAGTCACTGTTTGACAGACGAGAGGACGCCACAAATCAATCTCCACAATTACAATTGGGGAGTGTTGGAAATAATCGACAAAAGCAAGTTGGTGCTGCAGACGAATCGATGCTTGTGGGCAGCTACTAACAACAAACAACATCATCGACTGTTGAAATCCTGCCCTCCACGGGACTCGTCACTCAGACTTGCAGATTGAGAAACTAATGTCAATACAATTACGCCATCGACTCTTGCTATCTTGAGCACTAGATATGAATGACGGGGGAAAAACATTGAAAACACGTTCAACTCCAGCCCCACCACGCCAAAAAACATGCAAATAAATTGTCATATTTTCGAACTTTTTGAAATGCACAACAGACAAAGTTACCTTCGTCTTTGACGTCTTGATCCATGTGGAAGGACGATAATGCTGCTGCTAATGGGTTGGGAATGTGCTCGGATCAGTCCCGACCAGATCAGTTCCAGGAACTGTAGAGAAGCGACTGAACCGCCGCCTTCTGAGTAGGACTGAGCGAGTTGGTTTCAGTTGTTTTAGTTTCTGTTCTCAGGGCTGAACTTTGGAGAAATCTCACCCACCCAAAATAGCACGTCTCGATTGAAGCTTGCTGCAGAATTGCTTGAAAGGTGAACAGAATTGCTCACAAACTCAGCCACATTCTACTATATGCTGGCCCTCTCATCGCTATGTAATCTCTACAACAAATCAATGCTCCTGAATATTGCATTCACAAATTCTGAAACTAACACGCAACCCATTAATTCACTTGAACCCAAACTATGCAGAAAAGAACAGTTTGAACAGCCATAGTATTATAATATGCAAAACCCTTTCTAGCCTGAACACATTGAATGGGCACTGCCTTAACTAGTAACACGAAGAGAGCTTCTTAGTCAGTTTGTACTGCCAAATACAAATATTGAGTTATATTCCACCTCAGGCAAGAAATCGTATATGAATTAACAATATTTGCCTTCATTGGCTTGTTTTGGTTTGATATTAAATTTAAGACATTTGAAAGTGGATGGTTGAATCTACGATGAAGAGGATGATTGGAAAGAGCATCAACAGGACAGAGGGTGATATGGAGCAGGAGGACAGACGCCCCCTCACCAACCAAGGGGAAGATGAGGAGGAGGAGGAGAAGGGGGAGGGAGAACGGAAGGATTATCAGTCCAGAAGAGTAGTCCAGGAGACAAGAAAGAAGAAGAGTGGTGACAACTGTTCGTCGTCGTCCTCCTCTTCCATTCCCAACATAACCAACAGTGAGTTCCCCAACCCCCTTCCCCACAATTACGGCAGCATACACACCCCCTCCTCCTCCCGGCCACTGACGACGACAACGGGGCCGGGTGTCGACTTGGATGGGGGCACATCGGGTGCCAATGGGAATACAATGGGGGAAGAAAGGAGAGGAAGATCGAACAGTGACAGCAGACTGAGACCCTCTCACAGTCAGACGGGGACGGCGGGACAGAGTGTGGATAGGGACTACTGTCACTTGTTCAGCGGCGGCGGCGGCAGAAGAGGGGCAGAGGAAGGAGGAGGGAGCAGCAGTGTGTACAAGCGGATGCGAAGCAACGAGGGACGCTCCATGTCATTCACTCGGGCAACATCCGAGGGCATTGGGGCGCGACAAGACAGCACTGGCCATCTCACGTGCAGTCCAGCCGTGTCCCTGAGCAGTGCTTCCAAGACTGCTTCCAAACTGAAGATGCCGACCAACATGCACTTCCACAGCAGGGATTTGAGGAAGGAGTTGGACATGTTCAGCACACAGATGCTCAGTCGCAGTGGCACTTTATCAGGTGACGACACACTAGCAACAGTAGACACAACACACTTCAGGCTGTCAATCAATTCAGCCACACACTTTTTCATTTCAAACCACTTTCTCAACCACAAATCCGTTTCTGTCTCAATTATCTCCACTGCACGCGTGTTTCCAACTTGCCACTACGCATCTAAACATTTTGACTTCTGTAAAAATGAGCTAGTGCCGAATGATAACTTCTGTATGGCAATCGAATCAAATTATTAACTAGTTGATCATACCTTATGCAAGAATTGTAAAACTAGCCACAACAACATCTTTGAGCCAGCTATGTTTACTTTTCTGTTCCCACTTCCGAAGAAAGTGAGGAATATATATGCTCGGGATGGTTTTTTTTTATTCAGAATGATTTTAGAAGAGTATGCTCGCACTAGATTAAAGTGCGGATTTGCAGCGTTCTAAATTCCTTCCAAATTGAATTCGTTCCAAATTAAATTGAGACACGCTATAATTGGTCTTATTAATTCCATAAACGACTCATATTTCAACACTTTGATATTGTCAGCCTAAAGGCTACTCTATGTACGGCATTGCAAGGCAACCCTATGCACTACTTCATCATATAAAAATAAGATCTACCCACTAAGGCAAGAAGGGCATCGACGAAAAGCATATTAAAGTCGCCAAAACTATATATTACGTCGATCCTAACTAGTATTATGGAAAATTGGATGTAATTGACAAATACTGTATGAACCAATCTGAATCGAGAAGACCTAAATAATCCAAAATAAATAATAGTTATTTTTTTAATTTCTTCTTTGTATCGATTCTGATTGGTTGAAACAGTATTTGTCTAAATACTGACGAGTCTGAACACGCGGTTGTCTAAATACTGCTATAAAACCACAATTAATGTTCATTTGAGCTTTCTTAAATGCAAATCAAATTTTCACATGCTACAACTGCACAATTTATGCATTTCAAAAATGTTTTTCAAGTATTCGGATTAATGTTTTAACAAAGAGGCGACGCGGAGCTTCCCACCACTTGCGACAACACAAAAAAAAGTTTAAGAAAAATGAAAAATGTAGGCGAACCAAATTTTTCGTATAACTATGAAGGATACCTAGGGCTCAGCTAAAGCTGGATGTACGTATTTGATATTTTCTGAATTTATTATTCTGATGCGGTACCAAATGCGTTATTTCAAAAATTAGATTTTGCCCAGAACCTTGGTTGTTTCTCTACTAAATTGAATGAGGAGAGTAAAAATTTCAGATTCTGGAATTTTCCCAAAAACATAACATTTCTATAACAAAAAAGTAACCATTTCTGTAGGAAAAATTCCTGTAACCGCTTCATTCGATTGAACTTTTTATCTCAGATTTGACGAGTCGTTTTTTGAAAATTGAAAAAATTTCTAAAAAAACAGTCGACGTTCAAAAACTTGACTTTCCGAAATCCGTAACTTTTTTCTGCTAAAAGCAGGTCGTAGCCGGAAAACTAGAGAAAATCCCCAAAATCGGGTTTCTCGATTATGCACTTAATCTGATTATTGGCGCGATAATTTTCGAGTAGAGCCACAAGCAATCTGCGCTCCCCTGTTGATAGAAGGTTGTAGTTGTGCCATTTGCAGACAGGCTAGGCTGTCTGTGGAGTCCACCACTGGAAGGCGGCACATCTGAAAACAACTAACAACAACAACTAGCAATTGGGCTACTAACATGAATAACCGTAGTCTCAAAATTTGCGAACACGGTCGAATTCTCAAAACTCAACCTGTTCTGTCGATTAAACCTAAGATTTCAGATTTGACTGGAAAGTTATCGAGAAAACCCCCAAAACGGTGAAAAAATCAGATAGTTGACAATTGAACTGAATTTTTTGCAAAAAAAGGATAACATTTTCCGAAGGATCTAAAAAAAAAATTGAGAAAAATCCAATCACAAACAATTTCATAATACCTGTTTTTATCGAACAGGAACTATAGGCAAACATGCTAGCAAGACATCTGAAATTCAAATCAGAAACTGAACAATTTTACAAAGCAGAAACAATGCCGACAATCTAGCTGTTAAAAAAGCAAAAGTAATGGTTGTATACAATCATAAAATAATGAATTTTGATTTGTTGAAGTAACAAAACACTTGCGATACAAAACAATTCAGAAAAAGAAAAAAAATCGAAAAAATTGATCTAGGTCGAAAAGACAATAGAACAAGAAATAAGCATCGGGAGATAATGTACCCAGCGGTAAAAACTCAATAAGCCGATAGGGTCAATAAGCCACTAAAATCATATTGACCGTATTAACTCGCAATAAGGTCACTAAATCATTAAAAATAGACCTAAAATCATTTGTACAGAATAATTTTTTCAACGAAAAAAAAGAAAATATACGAAGTCAAGTTTAGTAAAAAAATATATATAAAAAAATAACTATTCTGTAAGAAAATTTTAAAAAATACTTCTACAATATGACAACTAAGCCGACAAAACATAAGCACACCTTAAAAAGCTGACATTTTTTTTTCAAAAACGGACTATTTCCCGTTTGAAAAAATACAGGTACTGTCAGATTCAAACCCAAGACCCTTGGATTCCCAGGCGTATTCGTTACCTCCACACTAAGTGTGCCGAAGACGCCTAGAAACTGAATTCAATATGAACCAAGACACCAATTGATTCTGTTATACAAGCTAATCGCAAGCGTTATCAAATAAGGGAAGATAACGATGAAGCTGTGTTGCCTCTTTTGCAAAACCCAATTCACGTTTTAAAAACTTGCGCTTAAAATCGCTAAGTCAAATCAAAGAAAAAAAATTGGGATAATTTTGTGGTAGAATTTCAATTTTGGAACACTTTGTCAAGAGGACACTAAAGTCTGGGACAAAAACGTCTAAGCAGCAATAAAAATACTACCGCAATTGTTATCATTTGAACTGTGGTCGATTTACTGAAAACCTCTGAGAATTCACATTCAAATGCTTTTACTATTTTTCTACATGATTAACTTAAGCAGGCCAAGTATAATTGTTGCTGTGTTTGCAGGGAGACAGAGGAGCAGTAGCAGTGGCAATGGGAGTGGCACTAGTAGCTGTAGTGGGACTTCGAGGAGTGAGGGGGAGACTTCATTCAGCAATGAGGGCAGCAGCCACTACCTCAACACATTCAACGAGGCAGAGTGGGATTCGTTCGTGGACAAGATCAGACATGTGTTGCGTCTCCACTTCCTCACCCCCTGGCAGAAGTGGAGTGTGAGGGGACTGCTGCCCCTCAGGGCCACCATCCAACTCATATCAGTCATCATATTCTCCATACAGGTACAAGTAACCCCCACGTACGCGTACAGATAGATACAGAGACACCACACCGCACTACTCTTACTCTTATGATCACAATCACAATCACACCTCCAAACATGCGAAATTATTAGCCGCCCAGATTGTTAACAGACAACTACCTGGCAAAAACCTTGATAAAATGCACTAAATGGTCTAAATGTTGTAATCCAATTCACCAACAGTGCCTGACTGCATCAGGTGTCTAGCTTAGCCGATGGAAACAGAAAATTAAACAAAATAAGCCAGAAAGACGAATTTATTGAATATTGTTTACATTGCCGCAAAAATGTCAGCATGATTAATTCGTTGACGATTAGTCTATTATAAAGTTTTATTAAACTCATCGAATAAATTGCTCAAGTTCACACTAAGAGATCATCAAATGGGGGCCAGTGTTTTGGTTTTGCGCGGTGTGTGGTTTAGCAGAACATTAGATAGGTAATGATTCAATGAGTTGTGTTGGGTGTTGAGTAGCAATTTGAGCAGAAGAAAAGTCTGTGCTGCTGGTTGGTTGAACTCAGCTCACTGCAACTGGACAGATCCAGCCGCAGCAGTGACACCATATGCTATATTTAGAGCAGCGGATCAAGCCATTAGACGGTACGCATATGTAACACAGCGGAAGCGTATCATTGCAAGCTAGTGAAGATAAATGAGACAAAAAATAATAACTCGAAAAAGGAATAATTGAAAAAAATGAACACTTTTTTTGAACAAATGGAAACTTCGATTTCAGAAAAACGAGAAACACAACCACCAGTATTAAATAAGCTTTAAGTGTTTACCGAGTAGCCACTAAGTCGACAATACGTGGATAGTATATGATCACCATTAATCCGATCGAACATAAGCCGAAACTATTTAGGGCGAATAAAACTTTTCAGCAAAGGAAAATATACCACGTCAGTGCTAGTATATTTACAAATTACAGGAGCAAATCAACAACACTTAAAACTTCAATGAAAACTGATTGCAGCACGAGAAAAACTCGGTGATGTGGCAACTAAGCAGACAAACGAACGCCCGACAACTCATTTCTTCGAGAAAAAAAACTTTCATACGTACTGACAAAAAAAACAAGATCTTGCCGGGACTCGGGCTTGGAGCTTATGGTGCTAAGTGGATGGGAGCTTGAAGTTGTTGGAGTTCGATAAGAAAGCAAGTTCAATTTCTTTCAGATTTGTAAAAGTTGTTTAAACGAGAAAGAGAATGCCGATTGCAAAAGTTTGCGGTTACGAGACACTTGCTGTCGCAAATGTAATCAGTGGGGTCCTGCACTTGATTCCATGAGGGAAACTAGTAATTATGGTCGCGCTGCCACTCTCGAGGAGGAGGTGAGTTGAATGTATTTGCAAAATTATGTTGGCCCCAGTACACTAATCGGAATATCCTCATCTGGAACCTTCTAACTAAAGCAGCTATGGGATTATATTATAAAGTGTAGATTTGGTGATTCTACTGTATTCCATGTTATGGTAACCTGAGCGTAAGGTTGAGTCGCCATTAAATTAAGTAGAAGAGAAAACAAAGTGTAAATTTCTAAATGGTTCATTCTTCGAAGATATCGTCCCTCCTACGCCAGAAAATAAAATTTGACAAAACCGGGGAGCCCTCCGCCCCAAAAAAATCGGAACTAAGAAAGCTAACGTTATGAAATTCAAAGGAGCGATACTAGAGATGACTTGTCCTGGGCATACTAAAACGGGACCCCTCAGACCCTTGGGGGGCAAGTGATAACGGTCCCCGGAAGTGTAAATGGCCCTATCAGAACTCGGTAACTAGCGGTTATAATAGACTCAAATTCTAGCATGTTGTAGGCCTAGTTGAGGGAAGTTTAAGTTTAGAACCCCAGACCCCCACTTCCGGTTTTATGCCCTAAGTAAACAAACCCACCCGTAACTTCCGGAAGTCGTTTCTCGGCCACCGATGAGCGCAGGGAGTTGAAACTTGGAGGGATGATAGGTAGTGGCAAGTTAAATCTTGTATTATAAGTTGAGCCAAATCCAGCGGTTAGATCGGAAACTATTAGCACTTGGAAAACCACCCCTTAAACCGGAAATAGGCAATTTACGCGAAATAATGAGCAAGGGCATATTGATTTTATGGCGGCATTAGATACTACAACTCATCCCCGAAAAAAAGACCCCTAGTGATGAAAACCCTCCGGTGACTCCTCCCGGTGTTTATAGCCTTTTCCCGGAAAAAGTGATAATGGACTTTAGAAATGGGATAAATTAAGAAGTATTAATGGGATATGAATAAAACTTGGTAGTTAGGACCCCCATGGGATTCTGAACCCAAATATGGAAGTTTGACCCCGGTTGACCCCCGGTTGACCTTAAGTTGACCTTTGGGCTTTTTGACCCCAAAATTGCATGGAAAGCACCAAGATTAACACCGGAGAGTGGCGTATTCCCCAGTACAACGCCTGGAAATGAGAATGGGTCATCTTGCTAAAAAAAATTGGGAGGAAAACTTATATATTGGGAATTAGAGCAGAAGCCGATAGAGATACAGTCATACATGGCAGGCTTGGAGTAGTGGATTTAATTCAAAATGGACTTGGTAAACATTATGTTGAGTTTGACTTGGCGAATGATCTATTAATAGCAATTCAATTAGACTAAAGAAAACTAGTCCCAGAAGAAATTGATAGTAATAAGACGGCGGCATGAGAATTAACTTTTCTAAATAGTATGCATGGACGGGGATTTTACTTGGCTTCCTGGAGGTGACTTTTTCGTTTGAACTACGTTCCCCTGATAGCTAGATGATCGGGATTGGAATAGAGTACAGGTCAAAATCTTAGATGCTTGGAATGAATTAGCTACCCATGAAAAGGGTCTCCCCCTAACACTAGGAGGTCGGAACTTTAACGGGATAACTAAAATAAAGACCTTGGGAGGATAAATGAGTAAACATAGCATGGTTTAGAGGTTAGTTGAACTCGAGGGCTGAAGTCACAGAGTTCAGGAATTGGTTGATTAGAATCTTATGACATTTGTATGCTTCGTCAAATTGTGACAGCTACCGAATACCGGGTATCTAATAAGTGTGAAAATATTGAAAAGAAACCGAAGTTGGCACGTGGCAGAGTTGACAGGAGGAGGGATATAGTCTTAAAACATAAGCGGACGGGTGATTTTGGCGGATGTCAGGACTGATAGGTAATGGCGTGACTTACCTAAGACTAAGTGTAAAGAAAGATAAAGAATTGGAGGGTACCGGTGAGCCTGTAAGAGTCAGAACAGTTGGTAACTACTATTAAGGGTAGTTGGTTCTCCTCAGAGAAGAGAACAGTGTTAGCTACTATTGAGAGTAGTTGGTTCTCAGTCAGAGAAGAGCAATTGATACTGAGAGAGAGTATAGTTGGTTCTCCGTTAGTTAGAGAGAACAATTATTGCTAGTTAGTCAGGTAATTGGTTCTCGGAGTAAGAGACCAGTAGATAGTTAGTTCTCATCGGAGATTCTCAAGAGAGAGAGAGAGAGAGAGAGAGAGAGAGAGAGAGAGAGAGAGAATAGTTAGTGTTAGTGGAGTTAGTTGGAAGTTAATTGCAATTAGGCAATTTGGCCGATAAATCGCGGATCCTACCCTTTGAATTGATTATTAGATTATATCCTGGCCACTCAGAGCCTTCTGTAATTGGACATATAATCATCTAAATTAATTTATCGTTGAAAATTCTTGCGATTGTATCGAGTAGACGAAGATTATCTACAAAATAACCCTTTCGGGATTGTAGATAGTAGTGAATCTCGGTCGCCCCACTGAATTCACTGCCCAAGGGACGACATGGCGGTGTCGTTAGGAAGGAGAGAACGAACCTAGAGAAGAAATCCCCTAAATCTACATAAAGCCTGAAAATTGACTTTTAGATGACTTTTAAAAGAACTCTGAACTTGCATGTCTCTTAAGCGTTGAGCTCAACAAACTCGTTAAACATAGCGTCCACCTAAACATGGCGTCTAATAAGACCTAAATCATGGCATTAGCGTCGTTCACTGGTTATATAAAGGAAGGCTGAAACATGCTTCTGGTGAAAAGCTGTTTTAAAAACGTTTACACATTTATTTTCACGTCAACTTTGGTAGAAAACATCATGAATCACTTTGCGTAGACCGTAAACAAAATCAACTCGATCACAATCAACTAAAACAAAACTAGTCGCCAATGTAGCTGCAAAAAACATATTAAAATGCGAATGGATAGTGTCGAGTTAAACTTCCAGGTGCAGCTGTGAGATGAGATATGTGGACACTTTCTCCATGTGCAACTCAGTTAGGCCGTGCAAAATCAGACTAGTCACGTGACCAATTGCTCTTTTACACAGAGTGCAGGAGAACTTCTCGTGCTTGTTGGGAGGATCTGGGCCGGGGCGGTTGGCATGAAGGAGAGCATCGTGCATGGTGTCAAATTCGATCTTGCAACTTTTGCATCTCAACATTCCTCCTACAGCAACTGAGTTTAGCCCACGCCAAATCTTATGGCAACGCAAATCCGCAAACGGATCCCCACCTCGCTTCTTATTGTTGAATTTGGTCAAGTGTTTAAAAATTTGACTCTCCAAAAACTGGTTTTGACACTGATTACATTTGTACAGAGAATACCGAACTGATTCCTTGTTCTCCGCATGTTTGCCACTCAATGTGTGTTTCTTAATTGACAAATCTCGCGAACACTCAAACTCAACATCACAGCACATGCACGTCAGCGAGTGCACCTTTCTAGGGGCATTTTCCTTGTCCTTACTTCCATCTCCATCTTCCCGGTCGAAACTACTCACACTTTTCGCCAGTCGCCCTCGTTTCAATCGTTTTTGCCGAGGAGCATTTCGCCTCGCTTGTACCATCAGTGCACTTGCTGCTGCCTTTCTGTTCAGACCAGCCTTGGCCTCTCCTTCCTCATTCGGTCCAATTGCAGCTTCTCCTCCTCCTTCCTCTTCCTTCTTTCTCCTCCCATCTAACACGTGTGCGCTCTTCAGATGCTCAAAGTGGAGAGGGGACAACAGATTGAGACTCACCATTTTCTCCACATGCTCCATCGAGTTCAGATGATGCTGCATCTGCTCACTTCTCTCGTTGCCACAAAACTGACACAGCCAACATCTGTTACAAGTTGCCATCTTCACTTATGCAATGAGCTGCCTGCGCCCCTAGAGAAGATTGAATCCCAAACTCAAAGATACTCAAAAACAATTGAAACCTGAAAGTAAATATCCACTCATTAACTCCCATATTCCCAGATAAAAACAACTTGCGCCACTGCAGCAGTCTCTCACCCGACTGTAGTGTTTAATCTAAACGGCTCCTGTTTTTACTTATAATCTAAACCGCTAATTTCTCATCGTATCAATTAAACAGCATTGAACATAACACAATCAAAAAGAAGGAACATAATTGAACATAACACAATCAAATCTCTGAGTGGACAGCTAATGAACCCACATGGATTGCTAGATGCTGCCCTCAATTCAAAGACATAGTTGACAACCAAAATTAACTGTTAAATTTGAAAACGACTAAATCATTAGAAAAATCATTATAATAAAAAAAATTTCAACACATTGCGAGAACACGACAAAAAGCAGCTCTGTAAAGTGCAAAAAAAATAATTAGAAATAGGCCTCGAATTGGTAAAATTTCGGCCACCTCTGAGATTCGAACCTGTGCCCTTGCGATTAAGAATCTCACACATTAACCACTCGGCCACGGAAGCTTAATAGTCACTAGACACAAGCCACAAAAAAAGCTGAGAGACAGATGCTATTCCACAAAAGTAAAATCTTTTAATGAACACTTTTATTCGCTTAAGAGTTAGGTTGGAAAAAAAGGAAGGTTCTTAATAACACACTGAACTGATCGCAAGTGTAGAAGATTATTTGACGAAAGATGCATACATTTCAGTAGTGTGTTTCATACTATTTCAGTACTGCAAATGAAAGACGATTGGCTGCCTAACAGTAGGTTCATATAATGATCAGTTTTCAAACATAGCCAGCAGATAGTTAGAACAGAGTTAAAGAACGCAAGAAAACAGAAAGAAACTGAATTCATTTTAAAAAAAACGGTCAATTTTCGAATTTCAGAGTAAAAAAAACTAAAAACTATACAGCCTTAAGGCTCTTTGAATTGCAAGACGAATTAATGATTGATACTTTTTGAGAAAACTGGATTAATAGGTACAGTTTCATATTTGGAGAGCACAATTTACCAAACTTTTAGCAGATGAGCTTACATTGATCTCGAAAATGCATATATACATATGTGCACTCATAAATACATCAAAATGTACGAATGCACATCTGTAGTTATTTGATTATTTTAAGACATTTTCCTGAAAAAATTAACAAACAAATAAATCGCCACGACTATATAAAAGTCTTCACTAAGTTCAGTGACTTTGTAAAATTCGAAAAAGACCTCTATGTACTAAATGTACCTCATCCTTAGAGCCCCCATGACACCAATAGAATTGAATGAGACTTGTTGGACGTTGGTTACCCAACTGAGCTCAAGCAGCAGTAACAAGTCCAAGCTTTCAACATAATTGGTCATAATCCTGTAAAAAATTTCCCCAAAATAATTCAGTAAAAAATTCAAACCTCGTTCAAACCTCGACCAATTTTGTATAACCAAACACAGCTAACCGAAAGTTGGAAAAGAGTCAATGGACACTCGGTAACAGAAAAAAAACTGACTTGTTTTTCTAAAAAAATCATCTTTCAAATTTCAAAGTTAAAAAAATTGATGGCAATAAAACTCTTTTATTTGCAAAAACAATTTATGATTGAGTTTTTTTATTAAAACTGACTCAATTCAAGGAAACTGGGTCAATGGGAAAAATTTCCTTTCAACCAAGTTTCCCTTCCTTTCAACCAAGGAAATGAAGTGAACTGAAGAAGAAACCAAAAGTCAAACCGCGAAAAATCAAACTGCAGCATGAACAATTTTCCTGAAAAAAAATTGGAAAAAAACATCACGATCTATAAATCATATCTTCATTGACTCTTAATTGAAATGATGCTTTTTGTACATCAAAAAAAGCAAATAAAATCTTTGTATGGAATTGAAATGATGTTTAGAGGGGGTTTATCACGATGACTCATTCAATACCAAACGACGTTTCCTTATTTTAAAAGAACAATAGAAGCCAAAATCCCTTCTAACTTGAAGTAATCGGAACAGTAATTATTCAGATAACTTTAAGTTATCTTATAAATGAGCTTTTGAATTTAGCGGTTAACTCATTCACATGCTTTAACTCTCTGGCCAAACGAAGTAACCCTCTTTGGGACTTCTATAAATCTATTTTCGTTCGACCAGTCCTAAATGTTTTCCGAAGGCGCTTTCGGTGCGCCATTATCAACCCTAAAAAAGGTGAGCAAACTAAGGTAGTGTTGTGTTGTGAATTAGTTGGTGTTGTATGCGAGCTACCAACAGGAGTACCAGCTGTTCATGGATGAAAACAGTGAAAGTATGCAGCACCTGTTCCTCATGGACTGGGACGAAGACTACACGAACCCAGACCACAAGACACCCTTTCCCTACTCCGTATACAGACCACAACAGATCTCCCAGTACATCCAGTTCGCGGTGGACGAGTGAGTATCCACTCAAAACCACTCACATAAGCTATATCAAATATACAACACATAAACAACACTGACACTGACATAGTTTGAAATGCAACGGTAAACAAGAATGATTTGATTTTATGCAGATACTTCAACTTGGACCCGAAGGCCATTGGAAACTGGACCTTCTGCAACGTGTCCGACCCAGACCAGGTGAGCAGTGAGCCAATCAACATGGAGCTGTGCATCTTCCAGAACAAGTTTAACGACAACAACTCCACCTCACGCACAGTCGAGATAGAGATAGATCCCCACAAGAGTAAGAACAACCCTAGGGACCACACTGAACACTGTGGTACTGTGTAGTACTGTTGCCACAGTAACCTTGAAGAATTATTATTATTAATAACTGTTATGTATTGTTATAACTTATTCAAGGCCAACCTAGCAGGCCTAATGCAACAGTCATTTGGACGGTTGCGAACTAACATGCAGAGAGTTAACAACAAGATCTCTGAACAAAAGATCATTGACAACAAGTTCAAATTAAAGATTTAAACACTTCTGTTTTCACTCATTAACTAAGAACGAAGTATCAGATTATCACATGGCGCAGCCAGCAGGATTCATGTCCCAAGATAACAGAGCAGATATGGGAATTCCTGTATTCTGGACAACGGCAAATTCAGATCCTCCTTGGAACTTCAAGATTTGGTTAGATCAATTCCTATTGGCAGTTACAGTTAAGGAGAGCGTGAATCCTGAATTATTGTTAGAAGAACCGAGAGAAGTTCTGTTGGAGCCGAGGCTAGAGACAAAGCCTTCAGTTGGAGCCGAGGCTAGAGACAAACTGGCGCGGGACAGAGTTCTTTTGGAAAATGAAGAAAGAAGAGCTAGAGGACCAAAGGTTTGTCATAATGTATATTATAATGAGGTACAGAAACGAGTGGCCTCTAGATTGTTCTTAGCGTTGAGAACAGAAGGTAAAAAGAAAATTGTGCAAAAGAATCCACATACAGAAGTTTCAAAGCTAGAATTTCGGGAAATGGTTGCTTTAGCAAAAGTATCATTTGACAAAGCACAGAGTGTTACTTATGAACGTTATAAATTGTTTAATCGAGCGCAGGAAACAGGAGAAACATTAGAAGCAATTCACGCTGCATTAACTGCGCAGGCAGCTAAAGCGGATTTAGGGACACTGGAAGACGAATTAGTTCGTGAGCTATTCATATCGAAAATAAAGAACGTGGTACTGCAAGATACATTAACGTTCGAAACCTTTACACCAGAGGAAGTACTGAAGAGGGCATTGAAATTTGAACAAAGCAAACAGACAACAGGCATTTCAAAAATCAAAAACAATGACTGCAGGTGCAGGTCAGGCTCATGAAACAATGAAAATAAAACAAGAACCGATCATGAATGTGGGGAATAAGAGCACAAATAGTCGGAGACAATCGAGAGAACCGTAAAAGAAGAGAGCACCATCTGACAGGAGAGAGGGAAGAAACTCTATGGATACAAAAACGTGTACTCGATGTGGTCGGCTATTTGAAGAAGGTCATTTGAAGAAATGTCCGGCCATGGGCAAAACATGTAAAAATTGTTCCAAATCAAATCATTTTGCAAAAATGTGTAGGTCACAACAAGTAAATGAAATTGCTGAAAAACGTCTAGCTCGGATGAAGAGGGTAATTTGATTCAGTCTTTTGACTCATGCGATGAGTTTGAAATAAAGGCAATAGAATCGGATATTTCGTCGATGGAGAAGATGGATGAATATATAAAACAGCAATCGAAACGAAAAATAAATGTTGGGGATAGCGGTAAAGACATACAAAAGGTCGATATTCGCAGGAACCCTCGATCACAACAGATAAAGTCGTTAAAAGCATTAGTCAGAATTGATCACCAAATTATCAATATGACTATTGACACCGGTAGTCCAGTATCGTTCTTAAATTGGGCGACAGCAAAACAAATTCTAGAGTCTTCCAAAAATACGAAGTTTATTCCACGGGAGAATCTAAATTTGACAGCTCAATTTGTAGACTACAATAAACAGCCAAATAACATTTTGGGAGCAATTACCACAACCATCCGTTCGGCAGGGTGGGAAGTAGTGGGGCCATCATTTCTGATCACAGAACGACGCACAAGATGCATATTGGGGCTGGACTTACAGAGCAAAGTGGGGATACACACAACACAAAAGCTGGCACCAAGAGATAAGACGAGGTTTGATGTGCCACTGTGCGAACAGTCAGAAGGTTGGAAAAACAAATTTTATAGTAAATTTAAGGACCTTTTTGATCGTCAGGGTTGCTCGAAAAATCATGTTGTCAGTACAAAGTTCAAATATCCACTTTGTCCATTACAAGAGAAAGGGAGAAGGATCCCAATACACATCCAGGAAAAGGTACATGAACAAATGGAAAAACTGTTAAAAGAAGGGCATATAAAACGTCTGGACAAATATACTAGCGATTGTTTTATAGCACCAATTGTAATCACAGTGAAAAAAGATGATTCTTTAAAGCTGGCTTTAGATGCGAAACCTATCAACAGGCAGTTGTTCAAAAACAAATATCAAATGCCTAATGTTGACGAGTTATTGGATGGGGTTAGTCAGATAGTAACAGCAAATACAAACGGTACTTTTTATTTCTCGGTATTAGACTTGAAAGACGCGTACAGCCAAATAAGGTTGACTGCAGAGACAGCAAAACAATGCAACTTTAACATCATAGGCGGACAGGCCATTGAAATGCACAGGTTTCTCACTGGATTCTATTGGCTTGCGGACATGCCAGCAGAGTTCCAAAAAGCCATGGATCGAACGTTAAATCATTCGAAAAACACGATCTGTTTCCTGGATGATATACTTGTTGTATCTAAAGGGAGTGAACAAGAACATGAAAAACTGATTATGAACGTTTTCGAAAAATTCGACAGAGAAAATCTGGCATTGAAACTGTCAAAATGTGAATTTTTTGAAAATGAGGTGAATTGGCTGGGGCACATGTTATTGTCAGAAGGCATTTCACCAAAAATAACAAAAACGGAAGCGAAATTGAAGCTCAGCCCGCCAAAATCACTTAAACAACTTAGGTCATTTATAGGTAGCATAAATCATCTGGCTAAATTCATCCCAAACGCGGCTAGTTTAACAGAAAAACTTAGACACCTTTTGCGAGAAGAGAATGAGAAAAAGAAACTTAGTGTGAAAATTCAAGTTAAAAAATTGGAATGTGGGGAAGAACATTCGGAAATATTCGAATCGATAAAAACAGCGGTTGCAAATATAACTAAAATTCATTATTATGACCCTAAGATGGCTACTAGAGTAAAATCTGACGCTAGCCATAATGGGTTAGGCGCAACGTTAGAACAACAAAGAGCCGAGGGGGATTGGGTACCAATTGCATTCGCGTCGAGGTATTTGAACATTCAAGAAAAGAAATACTCGACGAATGAGTTGGAACTGTTAGCAGTAGTATGGTCCGTTGATCGATTTAAACACTGTTTGTTAGGGAAAGAATTCGTGATAGCCACAGACCATAAAGCGTTGGTTTCAGCGTTAGATGAAAACAAGTCAAACAAAACCTATCAATCTCGGTAGAATAGATGGGTCGATAGATTGTTGCCTGATCAATTTAAAGTTGTTCATATACCGGGAAGGGATATGGGCATTGTGGATTATTTGTCTAGAGACACTAATGGCGAACCGTGGCCAGAGTCAGAATTAGATGAAAAATTCGTAGTCACATCGATAGAAAGTTTTCATAGAGCTCTCGACTGTTTACACAGTCAACTGAGTGATCACGATGGGCTCGACAGGAACGAAAACTGAATAGAGTGCGTCAAAACAGTAGACGTCATCCAACAGTTGCTATGGCAACCAAAATTGACGAAAACGAACAGGGCACGACCGGAACGAAAACGAAACAAGTTCGCGATCGATTAAACGAGAAACCTGTGAAAAACCAGAGATCAGTTTATCTCAAAGTTGTCATTCAATACAGTCGGTTGAAAAATCAAAAATAAGTCACAAAAATTCATCAGTTCACACTAGAACCAGAAATAGAAAGTGTTTCGAAATCAGAGCAATGAAAACAGGCGAAAATTTGAACAGCGGAAAGGGGAGAAAGGTAGTCAGAATACAGGAACGGAGTAGCCTCGATACATTGACGGAGATGTCACAGAAACAACATTCCAACGGACTAGAACTATCCAGCATAATCCCAATAAGTCGGATTCAGAAAATTCAGACTCAGATGGCATGCCACAGGTGGAATGGAGAGCAATGAACCGGTACATCCAGGCGGACACTGGAAACAGCGGCCAATCAACATCTACGGTTGCAACAGCACAAGTTTCGTTCTGGAAAATTATACGGGGGGGGGGGGAAGATACGACAAGCCAAGATCAATGACGGAGTCAGAAGCAATCTCGTCAATGCAGAGCCCAAGAGCACTACTGGAGAATAAAACAAGGGACGATGAAAGAATAGGACAAGTAGTTGAAGTGGATCTTTACGGGGAGAGCACAGAAGACAGGGAAGTCAGTCCGGAAGTTAGTGTCAGTCCGGAAGTTAGGGTCGTCCGGAAGTTAGTGTCGTGGAAGTTAGTGGATGGATAGGCTAAGAAGGGTGGTGGAGCGTAATGATAGACAAGGATTTGAGCTTATGGGGCCATACACCAACCCTCTGTGGCACCAGATGTCCGTGGTCGACGACTGTCTACTGGTGGACAACCGATTAGCAGTACCGGATAAACTGAGACATGCTGTGCTTCGACAAATCCACCAGGGCCATCCCGGTCAGGAGGCAATGTTAGAGGTGTCCAATTATTTGTGGTGGCCACATATGCATAAGGACATAGTCAACCTGGCCGAGGAGTGTAGAAGTTGCACTCGTTATGGTAAGAACGCTAAAAATATAATTCCGAAAAAATCGGCAAAACCACTTCCACTGCTGACGCGGCCGGGGCAAGAATTGCAATTAGATTATGCAGGCCCACTCGAAGATCATAAGGGAAAGAAGATATATTTGTTGGTTGCTATTGATAGATACTCTAAGTTTCTGTCAGTTAAAGTCACGAAATCCACTGGGGGAAAAGCAACGATAAAAACTTTTCGTACCTAAATTGATACACATGGAATACCGGAGTCGATTAAAACGGATCAGTTTTCTGGGTTTAAAGAAAAAGCGATGAAAAAATTCTGCACAGAAAATAAAATTACACAAAAGTTCTGTCCGGTGGGTGATCATCGAGGGTGCGGTCTGGTAGAGCGAACGATACAGACCCTTAAACGAAGACTGGGAGTCATACTATTAGATGAAAACGTACAATCGATAAAACTTTGCTTCAGTACAATCATTAGAAATTTAAATTGGAATAAACAGAAAACGATAAAAGTGTCACCATTTGAAGCACACTTTGGTCGATTGCCCAAAACTGAATTTAAAATTTTGAGGGATAAATTCATTAACGAGTCTGATCGTTTAGATAAAGAACATCTGGAACGATCTGCATTAACAGCTTCTCAATTGAAAAGACGCATAGACCAATCAAGGGATAATGTGAAGATCATTCGAAAAGGACAAAATAGTCGTGACGTCAGTCCATTGTTTCTACGAAATACGGCCGCCGCAAAAGAACGAGCAAGAGCTAAGGAGTTGAAACAATTGCTGGAGGCAAATGCGAGATGGAACGCCACCCGGAGAGACAAATCGGCTAACGATTTGAGACGAATCGTTGATGAGACCAGCACCATAAATCCGGAACTCAGGAAAGAATTGTTATATTCGTGGGAACGAGGATTTATCGAAGATAAACAAAGTGCAGAGACGGATAATTGGTCAGGTAATTTCCTTCGCAAACACAAACAACGGAAAAGTGGAAAGGCTTTGACAATACCACTCAAAGGAAAAATTGTGGCAGAGACACCCTCGACTGTAAAGACAGCTGCAGGTGCAGTTTATAGGAAAAGTGATATAGCGAAATCTAAAGTATTCATACCGTCTACTGTGAGCGGGTCCGAAAAGAAAAGAAGTCCAACGGGGGAGGAGCCGAGAACTAAACAGCAGAAGACAGTTCGAGAGTATGAAGAGGCTGATAGTGAATCAGCGGAGGAAAATGATATGGAAGACCAGTGGCAGTGCATTAAAGTACCAACTGAAGTAGATCTACGGATAAATTCCGAAATAGTCCGACTATAGTAACTCCGAAGGACACGGAGACGGCCGGTGGTTTGAACTTATGTGGGAAAAGGAATAAACCGAATAGAGCAGGACCCACGGTGCAGAATCAAAAGAGCAAAATGGGTAAGCCTACAGCGCAAGAAGTCCGAAAACTAAAAGCTGTTAAAACAGCAGCGAAGGTTAAAGAGCGAGACACTGTTGACAACGATCCCCCAGCGTCATCAACCCCAAAGAAGGTCCCAGGGAGTAAACGCATTACGCGGCAGACTAAAGAAAGAGAAATACTGGATACATTCCAGAACAAGGATATGACACCAGGGGAATGGGACGAACTCGCAGAACAGGTACTGACCAGGGGGGTTCAAAACGAAGCCGAACAAATACTCACACAACAGGCGGTCTCAGTGGATGATTGTCCTCCACCAGGTTTCTCCGATGAGTGGGACAAGGAAGAGCAGACAACGGTGAGGCGAAGCAATAGGCAGACTAAAAATCAAGGGCCAAAGAGATATGGCAGCACAGTGTCTCATTCGGTAAAACTGATTTCTTGCGAGGACGACGTTTCCGACTTGAATATGGCAGCTCTCGAGGCATAACGGGCGAGACAAGCAGCGATCAAAACTGATGACAGTGAATCAACGAACACGACATTTGACCTATCGGAGCGACATTTATTCAAACGTAGATTTGGTGCCACATCGTTGCACATTACTAAAGCATGGAATGCCGCGAGGAAACAATCGGAATCGGAAAAGAAAAACAAGGAGCAAAAATAAAACTAACCAACATCAAACATTGTTATTAAACTGAGCCTAAAACTCATATTGTATTTTTTAAAAATTTTATATGGTATTATGTAAAATTTTGTTGTTCTTAGGGGAATGTGGTACAGTAACCTTGGAGAATTATTATTATTAATAACTGTTATGTATTGTTATAACTTATTCAAGGCCAACCTAGCAGGCCTAATGCAACAGTCATTTGGACGGTTGCGAACTAACATGCAGAGAGTTAACAACAAGATCTCTGAACAAAAGATCATTGACAAGAAGTTTAAATTAAAGATATAAACTCTTGTTTTCACTCATTAACAAAGAACGAAGTATCCGATTATCACAAACACAAACAACAACAACATGCCACTAACACAGTATTCACAGACTAGGCTACACTACACCTACCTTCCCAATTTATAATACAAGCAGTGATCATGGGCATAGTCTGTGGCTGAACAAGTGGCATCATGCTAGTTCCTGTCTATGTTACTATGTATGATATAGAGACGAGATAGCGTTGTTATTTGCAGCATGCGGCCTCATCTCCTACCCACCTTCCGTGAACACTCCGGACTTCAATCTGACACAGTTCCTGGAGGAGGAGTTCGGAGACTACCACCTAGATCAGAATCTGGCTCTGTTCCAGTCCATCCAGCTCAGGTTCTTCCTCCTCAACCAACACTTTGGGGCACTCAACGTATTCTTCGAGCCCAATTGCTACCGTTTCCAGAACACAGTTAGTTGCCAAGCAATTGCAATGCTCAAGCTTTAAGCAGAAGCAGTTAGATGAACTCATTGCTCATTATTTATGCATGTAGCTTGTCGATATTATGATTGTTGTGTAGATTGTGATTGACAACGAGTACCACACAGGACAGGACCCGGTGTCCATGGACATCCAGAGCGAGACCCTCTCCTGTGCGGACAACAGCAACATCCCAGTCTACTACTTGGACAGTAAACACAAGCAAAAACATACACAACACAACACACACAAACACAGCCGCCCACTCAGTCATTAACGTCATAGTAACTAGAAAACGACATCACTATTATGCAGTAGTTGTTGTTTTGGCAGTAGTTGTTGTTTTGGCACTATTATGCAGTAGTTGTTTTTGGGTTCGGTATTATTGAAGTGCATGTTCTTGCTTTTCACGTCGTTAGAAGATTGTCCATCTGTTTCGACAACTTGCACAGTCACACTATAGCTGCTGCCATGTGCACATGTTGTTGCTTGGCGTTCGTTGGCGTGTGTCCACATGAGGGCTAGTGTGATCTTAGACTACTTATTCCTCCTTCTCTCTTTTTAGACAACGGAGTGGAGTACGTGTATGTGATAGCCAGTGGCTGTCTGGACACCATTGCTATGGCCTGGTCTATATTACTCTTACTCAGCACCTTCAAGTCTGCTCGGCGCAAGTGGATTCTCGGAACGGTCGGTTGTTACATCACAAACGAAGATCGCCGACTCAATTGATGTGTTGTTATCCGTCACCAACTATCACACAACGTACATTTTGTGGTATTTCAGATTGTGCGCAAATTCTGGCTGGTGCACAAGCAGAAGAAGCTCAACATGCACGACCAGCTGGAGTTTGTGGACTTCTGGAACGGGCTGACGATCGTGTCTTGCTGTGCAGAAGTGGTTGGATCTCTAATCAAACTCTTCATCACCACAGAACTCATCAAATCCGGCTATAGCGAGTGCTCCATGTTCCTGGGCCTGGCCGTCATGCTCAGCTACATCGCAGTGCTTCAAAACTTCACTTACAGCTCCAAATTCAATGTAAAGTCAAGTCAAGTCAACAGCCAAAGCACTTTCAACAAGATAAGTGTGGTGACAATATGATCGATCCTTTTAGATTCTGATTCTGGCTCTCAAGATAGCCACCCCTCCTCTCATGCGCTTCGGGGTCTGCATCATCGTCTTCTCCATAGGCAACTCTCTCTTCGCCTGGATTGTATTTGGAGGCTATCACTACAAGGCCAGTCAACACTTTCTATCACGCTTTTACATCCACCATTTTTGATATTTCTAATTTGCAGACGAATATACAAAGAGGCGTACATAACTTACAGTTGGCGGATTAGCGAAACAATTACGATTGATTCAAGTAAAGGGGCAAACCAATGCAGAGCAAGCTTGTTCTGTTGAGGCCAACAACTTGGTTTTGATCAAATATAAGCTCATTTTTGTATATTTTGGATCCAAAAACTCTCCAGTCGTTAGGCACTTTAATCCCGTTTTAATCAATTTCTTGATTTTGTTCACTTTGTGGTGGCTGTCTCTACTTGTGACATGTTCCAATAGCCTCCATAACAGCTACAGAATTAGAAGGAGGATTTTAGATAGAGGACGCCTAATTTAGCTACGCAGCAGCAAAAAAGGAGCAAGTTCAAGATTCCAGTTCCCCAGCAAAAACTAAAATCATATTTTAGCACCTGCTAAAAAAAACTGATCTAATGATCGAATATATCTTTGCACAATTCCTTGTTATTAGAGAAAAAACCTTAAGATCATGATAAATAAACGACATTTCAAAATTATTCAATGTCAGAAAACTCTTTTAATTTCAATTGATTAAATGTTTCAGTTTGAGACCTATGAACGCACAGTGCAGACCATGTTCTCACTTACTAATGGAGACGACATTTTCAACACGTTCTCAGAAATGCATCGCAACAACAACAGAGGAGTCTTCGTCATAAGCCAGTTGTGGATCACTCTATTCACAACTCTCTACATTTGCTTCATCGTCGGACTCATCATCGCGATTGTCTCCGAAACCTACCATGTCTGTAGCCCATACTCCTATACCGCTAATATTTTATATTTTCATTCGCAGAACACACCTTGTTGCTTAGGAGCTGGTGTCTGGGATGCACAAGAACAGGAGTGAAATCGAATTGTTCATGAACGAGAAAAACTCAACGGAGTCTGATTACTTCGAAAAAACCACAACACGAATGGGTTGCCGAGAAGCATTCTGGAGATTCATTAGATGCCAGCAACCGTGCGTATTTTTGAACTTCCGAAATTCTTAAATATCAAGAAAAGTTAACATACCATAACAATAGCAGGTTGAACCGCAATAGTTTGCTTGCTCAATCACTATATATGAAAAAGTTTTAGTATACATGTCTTTTTCAGGTTACGTTCAGGCTAATGATCTCATGGATCTTCTAAACTGACAGCTGTTTTGAATCGAACTTACAATCTTGAAAAAGCATTCTTATTGAAAAACACAATCTGAAAAACACAAAAACACTATCTAACTAATCGGAAACACATTCTAATTGTAAGACGCAATCTGAGACAATATGCAATACAGGTCGCGAACGCTGCCTGTGCACTGGGCACTATTAATGATAAACTACTTTCGAAGAAATTTTTTATTTATAGAGCCAAAGAACAAAAACACAGTCTAGTACACAGAGGCGAAACAGAGCTTCGCAACACTTGCGATCCAAATCAAACATTGCGGTACAAAATAGTGAATGAAAAAAAGACAAGTCAAAACAAAATTGTTGGAAAAAGTTACTAGAAAAAATAACTGGATAAGAGTTGAAAAATAACCGCAGCCAAAAACTCATATTTGTATCGGATGAAACTCGTTAACATCCCTTAAAAAGTAGAAAGCATTTTGTTGTTGTTGTTGTTGGGGATTCACAGCACTGCTGTTGGGATTCTTGGTCCCGGCGTCTTCTCTAAAACAATGTCCACTTGTTTCTGCACGTGATACAATCACAGAATAATTGCCACGTGCACTTTGTCATTTCTGAAAATCTCTCGTTTACAAATTTCCACATCGTGTTTAAAATTCTCGTCTTGAGGCCGATTCGTTTATAAAAATGAATATATGGTTCTAATCGATTTACAATCCTACTGGTTCTGAAAACAAATTCGTTTCTCGCTTTTTCCGTTCTCACTTTTCGCATCTCAAAAATTTCTGTATTTCTAGCCCGTGTGGTTCGCCTGTTTAACACTATTTCATTTCGTTCATTAGAATCAAGACTGGCAAAAAGTAAGATGTTATTTAGCTGGATGAACATGGGCAGGGGTAAAATGTTTAGCAAGCGTAGTTCGTTGATGTACACTCCCGTTTTATTTCCAGTGATCCAACGGATTACTTTCTTTTGAAATCGCTCCAACTGCAATTGATCCCCCCTCGATATATGTGTACATGAGAGTCCGTATAATAACACTGGGAGTATTAGTGACTTATACAGGCCTAACTTTACAAACGTATTTATCTTTGCTGATAGGTTTCTTCTCAGGAGGTACAGTACTTGGTTTGCCTTCTTTAATCTTGTTTCAATGTGTACCTTCCAACTTAAATCGCCCGACACAAAAATTCCCAGATCTTTCACAACCATCGATGTTCCAAGCACTACACCAAAAAGCATAGAGTTAGCGTCTCCGCCCCTAAAACTTACTTTTGCACATTTATCTAGTGCTAATTCCATTTTGTTTTCAGTTACCCACTGCTGAATTTTGTCCAGATCTTCTTGAATTTCAATTGATGTTTTTTTGATGGAAAGTAGTTTAAGATCATCCGCAAAAATATATGGTTCAGAGAATTTGAGTACTTCAGGTAGGTCGTTAATAAAAATGCAAAAGAGCAGTGGTCCTAAAAGTGATCCTTGGGGAACACCACTAGTGACTTCTAAAACTTTTGAGCTGATATTGTCTACTTGTACAAACTGTTTCCTGTTTTTCAAATAGTCATAGAGTACCTCTAACATGCAGCCTCCTATTCCTATAAGTGCAACTTTCTTAAGTAGATCAAAATGCGGAACTTTATCAAAGGCTTTTGCAAAGTCAGTGTAGACTGCTACAATTTCTGCGTTTGAGTCATTGTCAAGCGCTTCATATATTTCTTTCAGGAAAGAGAGCATGTTTGTCAAAACTGATCTACCTTTAGTAAAACCGTGTTGATGTTTCGTCAAATACCAGGCAAAGTAAGGGTACAGGTCTTTGTATATACATTTTTCAAGGACTTTGCTGTCAATATTTAATAGCGATACTGGTCGATAGTTGTTCACCATTTTTCGGTCACCTTTTTTGTGAACAGGAGTAACTGCAGCTGTTTTCCATGAATCAGGTATTTTTCGTAGGCGTTTTACGTTTCTCAAAAGTTTGTTCATCGGTTTGCATATATTGCGGTTCGTTTTCTGAAAAAAGCTAGGTGGCAACCCATTTGGGCCGCGTGACTTTGTTACGTCCAGAGTTGATAAAATCTCACTTACTGTGTTTTTCGATATATCAAAATTCGTTAACAAGGGATTTTCAGATTGAATATCTCTAATACTAAAACTTTCTTTAGGATTAAAAACTGAATGAAAGAAGTCGTTTAGCATGTTGACTTGTTCGTTTGGATTTGTGCTTTCAACTTCATCTTTTATGAGTAACTTAGGAAGACTTGTATGTTTATTCAAGTTCTTTAGGTGTTTAAAAATTACATTAGTGTTCCGTGTTCTAAACAATTCCTCTTGGTAGTTTTTCCTGTCCAATTCCGATGATTCAGTTACTAAATTTTCAAACAGTTTAACTTGTTGTCTTCTGTAGTTGGTCGGTTTGAGTATACATGATTGCCGTTTTGTTTGTAATTTTTTGATCAAATTTGAAGTGCTACTTGTTATCCAAGGTGGAAGTGATTTCCTATGTCTTGTTCTGAGCAGCAGCAGCAACAATTTAGCGAGCAGCAACAAAGGCGACACTTTGGGTCGAAACCTGTTGAGCCGAAATCAAAACTGCTGTCATATAATTCATAAAAATAAAGTGTTTACGAACCATCCAATTGAAACACATGATCCCAAACGGATATATTTTGCATTCAAAATAACGCAAAATAAGTTGACTAAGTCGATATAACAAACTGAAATTGTTTGAATATTTCAAGAAAAAAAAACGAAAAAATTGACAACTCAAAATCAGACATGGTAAATTTAAACTTTTGTGAAATTCAGTTATAGTAAAAACTCTTTACATTGGAACAGAAGCCATGCTTAAAAAAATAAACCAATAAAAACCCTGCCGGATGTGAATCAATAAAAATTAAACCAACAAAATCCCTGCCTCTACTTCCAGATGAAAAAATGGCGTTTAAGAAAAAAACGGAGAATGAACCGAAAGAAACTTGGACGAAAACCAAGAACCTGAAAAAATTAAGATATTTGTTTGCCAAGATAATAACAACTGAAACAGGCTTCAACTTTTTAGTACTTAAGCGATAGTACTTTTATTTAAATTTGAAAGATGAAAATCCTGTAGAGTGAAGATCCTCTAGAAGAAAAGATTTTGTGGACAAAGTTGTTTTAAGGAAGAGAAGTCTAGTACCCGATTGTAATGCCCTTACTCATCGCAAGGGTACTAAGTATCTGATAGAACCGTAGCCTCATATCAGGTCAATCTTTTCGAGTTTGACCTGATATACTCCGAAAGTATACTATACGTTATACTATATCAGACGCCTACGAATATCATGAGAGTATCAAAACATTAAAATGCCAACAAAGAATTTTGGATGAGGAGCAGCACCAGGCTCTACAAAAACCGTCCAGAAACTAGCAGAGAAACTAAGCAAAAGACGGAACGAATCATACTCGGACACAATAAAAATTATATAAGAACAAAATAAAGGTTATGCACTTCTGAGGAGTGCAATCCTCTGCCTTAGGGGGTGCAAAAATCTTAAAAATACATCCAACATAGACAATTATATCTGTGCTATAATCGAGGAGGGTAGATTTTAATTGACAATTCTCTGGATGCATTTAAACCGATTTGATTTATAAAATTTTGCCGATGTATTTAAATAGCGTTGGTACGGCCCCATACAACCTGTGCACGTAACGTCGCATGACGGAAGGGCCCATTTTAACTGACCTTTTTTAATAATTTTCTCTTCCATATCTGAATTGGTGATTCAAAATAGTTTATAATCAATAGAGCCACCAAGATCAAACCAGTTCAAATAACTACCTCTAGTAGGGCTACTGAGCTGAGGAAGACTGTAATAAATACTTAAGAACATAACATTTTTCATGTTTTAGCGGGATTGACTTCGATCGAATGAAGATAACTTTCGAAAAATAACGACTCCAGATTGAGAGAATGGAAAAGATGATAAAAAATGAGCAAAAATTTTCACTCAATATACACAGGTATTTTCTGATCTATAGGCTTCTCAGCCTCTGTCGATCTGCTTCTTCTGTGGACGACCTAATGTTATGATCATATTACAAAATTACATGTGAATCTGATGATTTATATATATAATGACAAGTTTTATTTTGAACTTTTTTTCCCAAATTTTTTCAGCTAATCAGAAGGTCAAAATATACCCAGTTGAAGAAATATACCCAGTTAGATATAGAAATAAACCCAGTTGGATATATTTCTATGATACTTTGCTCCCTACTTCTAGACTCGTCGCGCGTGTTGATTGCCGGTCTCTCTTTCCTAATGTGCAGCGCCTCTATTGTAAGTAACTTGATGCTGCTGGACGCCTGGTCAATTATTTTCCAATTAAACTGACTTACCACTCTCACTACCACACTGCCTTATATGCTGTCGAAGATGGATCAACCCTTTCCCCCAACTCCTAGCTTCTCATCCTCGTAAAATGAACTCAGATGTTAAATAAATTCAATTCAATGTGACATTCGACCAGAATGGCCAAAATGCAATTTATGCAGGATTCGAATTTTGAGCAGTAAGCCTTCCGAGTTGATGATTTCGAAGGATTAGCGACGTTATTGGAACGTTTAGCCAAACGGTGAGGGCTAGAATATTCTAGTATTTTAAATTTTCAAAAATTCGAATGATGACGTCACATTTCTGAGAAATGCTGAAACGGCCATTTTAACAAAAAGCGAGTGGAAAACACAACAACTTTTATCTGCGATTGCGAACAGTACGAAAATCGAGATTGGAGAACGACAACGAACTACAGAATAGCAGAGAACGTTCCGAGTTGCAACTATTGTGCTGCTACAATAGTTGCAAGGCCGTTGCCAACAACGGTGAAGGGTGAGAACCAGCCTTCCGGATTAGCAAGAAATCAAGAGTAAGGAGCTTGATTCGGCGGATTCAAGAATCCGGAAGGGTCTCGGGACGGAAACTTTTATTAACTCACATAAACTTTTAGCATCCTGTCATGTCCTGACTTGAATTTAACTGATATTTTGATTAGTTTTGACAAGGATGAGGTGCTAGGAGTTGGGGGAAAGGGTTGATCCATCTTCGATGGAGATGATGATTTTTATCTACTGAACAAAAACAATAGTAATATGATAAGTAGTAGCCCTGTTTTTAGGAGTGACCTCGTGGTCTGGGGATACTGAGACCCAGCCATGAGCTCACTAATTTTGCATGTAATTCAGTTAATTTGAGCGTTCTGGTCGAAGCCGGAGAACAGTAACGTTTTTGTCAGCCTGATGTAAGAAAGACCACCGAAAAGTACTGGCTTGGTAGAGACGGTGAAAAACATGCAAAGCTCTGTTTAGACGCTAGCCAGTCGTCTTAAGACTTAGTTTTGTTATCCGTCGATATGTATCTTCCGGGCGAATGTTACATGTATGTTTTTATGGCGCTCCTGGGTGTTATTCTTTCGTAACATCATGACCGGCGGAACCGTTAACGAGCACTCCGCGCCGAGCGGATGCTCACATTAACGCCCTTAATAGGCCTAAACTGCCGGGGCGGAAGGGTAGTTCGGAACGCGGAAGCCTTCCGGATTGCCCTGAATAGTTTTTTAACCTAGTTAAGACCGAAAATTCATGAACCAGGAAGGGTGGGGGGAATCGCGAACCCCTCGTCCCCTGAGTGGTTTGTGACCAAAAACATTTAAAGATATAAGTAAAACCAAACAAAAAGTAGTATAGTACCCAAGAAAAACAAAAAACATAAAAAATTACCGAAAAAACCAAAAACAGTAAAAAAGTAGAAAATCAGTAGAAATCATCCCCCCAGACAAGATGTGATTCAACCCCCCCGTTTGTTGTTGATAGATATATTGTTGTTACAGGCATTTATATCAGTCAGGATCGTTACGATCAATTTTGAGGCCCGTTTGTGAGGCTTGTACTGTAGGGTTATTTGAGCATTTAAGCACGTTAATGATAAATTGCGCTCAATCCGGAAGGGTCAACTGATTTGCGCTCAATTCGGAAGGGTCTTGGGTGAAGACCGATCCGGCAAGCAGTTCAAGGAGCAACAAGAAGGGGCTCAACGACAACAACAATCGACTGTTGGGTATCGTTAACAAGTTTTGTATCCCTTTTGGTACAAAAAGTAAGATAGTAATCTGTGGGGGGCTCGACAGTGCTGCACTGTAGTGACCCTTCACCGAACTGCGAATATCCGAGTTAAGCACCTTAATTCGGATAATAAACAAACCCGGAGGGGTATAGTATTACTAATATTATTATTCATATAGCCTATATTAATAGCCATATATCGTTTTTCAGTGAAAAACAACGAAAACAGACCGGTTTTTAGGGTCAAAATAGCGATATTTTGATCCCCCCACAAGTCGCGATTTTTGAGATATCGATATTTTTTGAAACGGAAAAAAGCGCTAAGTTAGTGTGTTACATCGTAACTGCACTACTGTAATAAGTAGAAACGGTTAACTTTAGTTCGGAAGTGGTTGGAACTAGTTTGGTACCAAAAACCAAATTTTCCCAATTTTTGATAGTAAGAAACACTAAAAATTTAGAAAATTTTTTGAAATTTTTGAGGTAGGACAGTAAAAATAGTTGTTCGGACAACGTCCACTAGTGAATCTACAAGTCTTAAAATCCGCTACCCGAAAGCCTTCCGGGTTGCAGAGAAATCGAACATAACGTGTTTGATTTGGTGGATTCATCAATCCGGAGGGGTCCAGGTAGCATAGTTTTTCAAATTTTTTCTACAATAGCGTTTTAGATCGGGTCTTTTGCATTGAACTAGAAGAGTATAGGCCTTCTGAGCTCGGATCAATAATTTTTAGGTCAAAAGGACCAGATTTGCGGAAAAAGTTAGGCGGAACCTATAAGAGAGAAAATTTTTTGAGTTCGGAAAAAAGACGTTTTGGTTAATAACTTTGGAACTACTGATCATATCGAGTTGATCTTGGTACCAATAGATCAGAAATTAGCTGAGCTTACTAATAGGATCAGAAATTTTTCGGAAAAGTGAGCGAGAAAATTTTTTGAGATTGTTTTTAGCAAATTACACAAATCCGGAAGGGTACACCCTTCACGTTTTATAATTTTTTCTGAAAAACCCTTATACCCCTACCAAAAGTTGATAGCGATTGAACTAAGTAACTTAGGACAGTTCTAGACAAAAAGGGAGGGCTGAAGGCACAAGACAACCATAGAAGAGGCGAAATTAGGCAAGTGATAAGACCCTTCACCGTTAGTGTGAATTGTCAAATAAGCGCCTTAACTTCAATCCGGAGGGGTCTAGGAAAGGATCCTATACCCTTCCCAGTTAATTCAAACAGCATAATAGCAACGCAGAACGTATCCGGAGGGGTATAAGCTGAAATTAAGAAAACTGCGAAAAGCTACTTTGACAGAGCTAAGGGCTCCGAATCCGGAGGGGTCTACTTTCCACAAAACCGGAGGGGTCCGAATCCGGAGGGGTCTTATAGTTGCTAATTCGGAGGGGTCCAAATCCGGAGGGGTCTACTATTAACTAACTCGGAGGGGTCCCAATCCGGAGGGGTCCATATTCTGACAGTCCGGAAGGGTCCTATTTGTGCCAATCCGGAGGGGTATTATTTTGTTAAGGACTTAGGTAAACGAAAGAAAGACTAAAAAGCGAGAGGTATTAGGTTATTAATACACAGGCTAGGTATCAGTGACTGCACTGGTAACTTGCCTTTCAAAAAGAACCAGACTAATACAAAAAAGGTCCGAACTCGGATATTCGCGACACTAAGTCTAAATTAAAAAGAGCGTGACTCATTGGTGTGGATTGGAACATAATACGTTTTTGGGAAAAGTGACTGCCCTGAGGATTTTAGTAGGTCTAGCTCGGGCAGTCCGAAGGCAGATAGGTAACACAATACTCGGTGGGTGCAATAGACGCCCACTTGAGAAAATAACTGCCTTCAAAGTTTTGTCTGTTTGGTGCAGCACCAAGCAGGGAAAGCTTTTTCTTTGAAAGACAGGTTCGACTATTGTACTGCGACCGACTAAGAGTACAAAACACATACGTTTTTTTTTATATATACATTCATATTGTGTCAATATATATTTTTTGTTTTTGATTTTAAATCAACGTAAACTGTGCTTGATTGGGTAGTGAATACACTATCTTTTAAATTGACTGATAACATCATATTGTGCTAGTTTCCAGATCTTTGGACCGGTAATCGGTTAGTGTGAATAAATTTTATACAAACTGTGTTCTGACAACATACAGGGATTCGTGGTCACTATTTAATAGAATCTGGTGAAATTTATTGTGTTGTGTCATTATTGTTGTTAATAAAACTATAAGGTCTCTAGCAATTGAGTCAAGAGTAGGCATAGGAAAGTGACAAATAGAGAATGAGTTTAGACAAGTCAAGGATACCAAAACGAGGTAATAGCTCTAGGAAATTCATACCTGAAAAGCAAAGAAAAACGATGACCGATCCTTTTGTGGATTGGATCAAGCGATCCCGGTCTGACAAAAGGGGGACGGTTTCAGGCAGAATGGTTGAAACGAGAAGTCAAAAGACCTCAGAAGAGCGAAGAGAACTGTTAGAAGTGGAGGTGAATACGGACCATACCATGAATGACAACCAGGAAGTAAATGAACTGGAAGGGAGAGGCAGAAGGCTGGCGAGTGAATCTACCCCGGTAGAACAAGGCCATGATTTTGCCACTTCCACCGGGACATTGGATCGAGAGGAGATGTGGGAACTGTCCGACATCTCAACTGAAGTAACGGCAACTAGAAGATCTCCGACAGACAACACTATGATGGCAGGCGGAACGGGGAAACAAACAATGTCATCGTCATTCTCAGAAAGAATGAAGAACACCTTCGGAAACATCTTTCCATTCAGCATGGGAGGAGGAGCAGGAAATGACGGTGAATCCCAGGAGGAAGAGGATGAAGAGGAGCAAGGGGACTTTGGATCTCAGGTCAGCCTCAACAGTTCGATCCAGGAGAACGAGGCATACGTCGGAAGAGAGACTGGAACCATGGACAAATTTGGTGTAGTGACAACGATAAGCAAAGAGGCAAACACACCGGGCCAGTCAAAGGACTTCGCGATTAGGACAAGTTCGGAGCCACAACCTGAAGAGAGTA